ATTATACGATTTCCGGTCATCAGGATGCCTGGTTCTTTGCCAGACGGCCCTAGAGCATCGTTTGCTATGGATAAGGTCCAACAGGTCTTGGGGTAGAGGATTTATACTGAGGTGTTTTTTGGGACGATCAGGTGAGGATGCAGTCCAAACTGCTTGCTGGATCAGAGTAGTAAAGGAGTCCACTGCGTCGTCAAGGTCTTCAGGTGTTTTTAAGGAAACTCTGAGGTCTATATTATCATCCAATATTTGACGGAAAAGGTTCCAGTTAACTGGTCCCCTGATAAATGAAGGAGAGGATGATTTAGGAATGGGTGATGTGGAAGCGGTTAGGACTATAGGACTGTGGTCTGAGGAAAGATCATCAAGCCTTGAAATGGAACAGTGTAATGATCCTAGACCTTTGTGTAGGAAAAAGTCTAGAAGGTCGGGATTGCGGTTGGGATCTGTTGGCCAGTATGTGGGAGTATTAGGTGAAAGGATGTTGCTGCGATGGGAATTAAGTGCAGATAGCAGTGTTCGCTCTCGGGAATTTGTGGATCTGGCTCCCCATTGTTGGTGTTTTGCATTTAAATCTGCACCTAGGATGAAATGGTGTCCTAAGGAATTCAGGAAGGAAATTATTTGGGATTCGGAAATGGGTATTTTAGGCGGGGAATATGCCGCAACTAATGTTATTGGGTAAAGGGAAGTTTGGATTATTACGGCAGTGGATTGTAGGAAATTATGGGTTGGTAAGGGAAATAAATGATGGGAGAGAGATCGGTGGATAATTATAGCAGTGCCAGCATGTGCTGTTCCATCAGGATGATCGGTTCTATAAATATTGTAGCCAGGAACGTTGATTTGTCGTTTGTTGGTTAGTCGGGTTTCATTTATTAGTGCTATGTCGATGTTTTTGTCATGTAATAAGATTGTCAGTTCGTTGATGTGATTTCGAATACCATTCGCATTCCATAGGAGAATGGAAAGGGATTTGGTTGAGGACATATATGGATTTAGATGTTAAGAATAGGTTTGAACCTTTAAACCCTTCTGAAGAGGGCCGCGAAGATATTGACAAGTTATGCTTAGAGATCAGGGATAATATTAAAGCGGTCGGTAACTCGTGTCTAGGAAAAAAAGGAAATAAGAATAACAAACCGTGGTTTGATGAAGATTGTTTAAAAAAAAGAAAAGCTGCTAAATTAAAAGCTCTAAATAATCCTAGCGAAGATAATCTGGAATACTTCCGAACCTCAAAGAATGAAACAACAAAATTGCCCAAAAATAAAAAAAGGGAGAATCTTAAAAATAAAATAATTGAAATAGAAAGTAATAGAATTGAAAACAACGTAAGAGAAATGTACAAAGGTATAAACAGATCACGTAAATGTTTAGGGCCATTCACGTCTGGAATTAGGGATGAAAAAAATAATATTCTGACCGATCCAATAGACGTATTAAATAAGTTTAAGAGCCACTTTGACAGTGTTTTAAATACGGGAAATTATGATCTGTGTCCTCCTTCTGAATACCACAGTGCGGAACCATTAATAGAAGAACTGAGTAAAGAGGAAGTGGAAGTAGCTATTGCAAAATTAAAATCTTATAAAGCAGCGAGAACAGATAATATTCCTTGTGAAATAATTAAGGCATGCGGGGAAGCAGGAGTTTCTAAAATACATCTGTTGGATAAAAAGATCTGAGAGCATGAGAAATTACCTGAAGAATGGAATCTATTATTATTCCGATTCACAAAAAGGATTCGAGGACGGATTGTATTAACTATCGAGGAATTTCACTCCTTCCGGCATGTTATAAATATTTACTTTAATCTTAACTAGTCGAATCACGGAATACGCCGAGGAAATTATCGGAGACTACCAATGCGGATTTAGAATTAACCGTTCGACTATTGATCAAATATTTTCTTTACGGCAAATATTGGAGAAAAAAAAATAGAGAACAACGGTATTGCTCACCAGCTGCATATAGGTTTCAAAAAGGCTTACGATTCAATTGACCGCCAGAAACTGTATAATATTCTAATTGAGCAGGGGATTCCAAAAAAAATAGTAAATCTAGTCAGGATGTGGTTGACGGAAACACTCAATAAAGTTAGAATCGGGAATAATTTATCCGAAAAGTTTGAGGTTCGTGCAGGTTTAAAACAGGATTCCCTTTCGCCTGTCCTGCTCAATTTGGTATTAGTACATGCCATTAGGGAGATGATGCGTACCGGAAAAGGGTTGGATGTGGGTAGAACAACATCCGTCATTGGCTATGCGCATGATCTGGTGCTGTTAGTGAAAACACCGAAACAATAAAACTAAATACGTCAACGTTAATGAAAGTCGGTAAAGAACTAGGGCTCGAAATAAACACGGATAAGACAAAATATATGGTTAGTTGCAAAAAAGGGGATATCGCTGGTGAATGGAACGCCTTGGCCTTTGCTTAACACGTAAGCTTTGAGAGCTGTTATTGCCTAAACTTCTCGATCTTTTATTTTTGGTAGACATTACCATGTGATAATATCTCATTTAAATAATCTGGCTGAAAAAGTAAAACAGCTCGATGTGAAAATAATTACGTAGACCGGTGGAGCGGCGAATGACGTGACCCTACTCCTCCGGCAGCCGCCCGGCTACTGAGTGAGGAGGGGAGACTGCTTATAGATAACAATATAATAGTTAACCTCTCCACCTAAATCTATTGTGGTTACCACTGTTCAGTAAACTTGATAAATAAACGATTACTCACTTTGTTGTGTTCATTTGATGAGCGAATTGTTAATTGTTCAAATAACAATGTTTTTAATCACTACAGTTCACTAATTCACTACTACTAATAACTTGTGGGAGACGAAGTAACAAGTGGTTTGTAATAGATTAGCGCATGCGCAGAATTGATATAACATATGTAATGCATTTGTTTTAATACATTTAGAAGGCAAAAAATAAAACCTAATCGACAGGCCGGGCTCCCTTCGTGGGCTTATGGACAAAGAGATTTGAGTTTTACTGCTCCTAGAACTTATAAAATCTCATAACATAATTTTATTTTTCCCAGTTTTATTTTGAGAATGAAGATATTCCCCAAACCCATCACTCAGTTTCCCTCCTGTTTTGTTTCAGAAAGTATTTCTATTTCCAATTCGTATTTCAGAAGTTCATCTGTTAAAATATTAATCTTGTTATGTATACACCTTAATTATTCCATCATTCAAAGTTTATTGTCCTTCTTCGTTTTCCGTGAAGATTCCTATTAGACCAACTGTTTATCAGATATGCCTTGTTTTGGGACTGCTTGAAGAATATCACGATATAGAGTTTTTAAAATAAGGAAAAAAAAAGGAAAAAAACATGAAACAAGGAGGCAACAATTGTTTCTGTATCACTGAAACACTTCTATGTCTTCTAGTCTCCTAACAGTAACAACAGATATGAGATTGTCTCATCAGTAGCAAATCCGCTGTTTGTTAAATCAGGCATTATTTTGCAACGACTATTATTTTCCTATATCAATAAACAAGCAGTTTACTCACATTTGTTCATCACATTCCCAGGAAAAGCGCTTGGTGGTGAAATTTTTTTTCCATCTCTATTTTTATAACTATATTAATTAAAATGTTATTGTATATTAATGTTTTAGAAAGTAAAATTAGAATTCCGTATTGCTCAAAGACATGGCAGAGAGAGGGAAATAAATAAGCAAAATTGTGCCCCACACGTCAACTTATGAAACACACGAGATCGAAGGTTGCCTGATGTACTCTCTTCTAGGTCTCTCTCTCTTCACAACAAGTCAAACATTGAACTTAACGTCCAGAGTATCCTCGCTTGAAAAATTGATTCTCTCGAGCGTTTCCCTGGTCTTTGTGGGAATCTTTCTACTATAAAGTCAATGGGAGAGCAGAACCTGCTCCGCATGATTCAACCGTATCTCTAAGTATTTTATTTCTCTTTTGAGCTTATTATTTTCAAGCAATCGCTTGTACATACATATTTACGAGAAACAGAACATGTTAGGCTCACTTAGTGTTGGGGTCTTCAGTGTTGATAGATGGGTGTTGGAGGTTTTAGAAAGGTTGTCTAGAACCGGTCTAAGTGAAAAAGGATTGTGGAAGAGGCTTAGGCCCTGCAAGGACCAGATGATAATGGAACTGAGTATACGAGCTATCCGATGATGAAACTAAATATATGACTTTTTATCCGATTTGTTTTGTTTTTTTAAAATGCCAATTAGTAGTATAATAGGAATCTTTTTCAAATACATTTCATTTAAAGTTATTTCGCTGTTGATGTGCAGATGTTCCCTTTGGCTATTAATTATTTTATATAAAAAAAAAAGAATAAAAATAACATTAATTGAAACTATTTGTGGAAGGTATACCATTGAAACCATTTTTATAAAACTGTGAGTTTGAGGGAATGGGTGTGTCCCATTAGGGGCGGGGACGTTTATTTTGCATAAAAGTCAACATTAAAAGAGCTAAAATAAAATGATTAGATTTGTCAGGAATTTTTAAAATTTATGAAAACAGGATGGTTAAAATGTTTCATACATTCGTTAATTGAATGGATCTTAATTCCCGAACCAAATTAAACAAAAAACAATATTGGAACTGATTCAGTTTATATTGGGAATATCTGCATTACTTTCTTGGAAACAAAATTTCAGTGCTGAATTTTAAATTTTGTTTGTACAAGTGAAATAAGATAATACAGAACTAGAGATAAATCGTAGTACATTGAAGCTAAATATCCTAACCCCGCAACAATATATTTCTATTATGAATATCAAACTTTATTTTGGTATATTATCTATTCTATTCAATAAAGTGTGAAACTTAATGTTTTTTAAAGTGATTCACTTTTTTATTTATATCTTTATTGGGTGTGTTGTTTTTTTTTAAAGGTGAATTCGCTCTTAATTAACGAAATTCAATATGGCTACACTGAAGCAACGGTTTCGATAGGTGTTTGCAGTGACGCTTCTGGTCTTTAGATGAGAGTTTTATGAATAGGATATGGTCCATTGTTATCAACATGGGCTGTGCCATTAGTTCATCAGGAGAAAAAGAAGCAGTTGAACGATCTAAAAAGATAGACAAAGATTTAAGGGCTGATGGCGAACGAGCAGCAAGAGAAGTCAAGCTTCTTTTACTCGGTAAATCTATTTGACATGTATTAATGTTGTATGTCTGTAGTTAGCTGTTATTGTATACCGGCATTGTTTGGGTTTTTAAAAGGTGTCCCACTTTTTTAGTATTTGTATTATTTATCAATCTCATGTTTTAAATTAAGGGAGTCCTAACGAATCTGTTGTTGTGATACCTTATATGAACATAATTCGTTATCATGTTATGATACTTGACAAGCGGTTATTATTTTTCATTTTCAAGTGAGTTTAACATTGTTTTGATACTTAATCATTTTATTAAACCTAATTTGATTCAAGTTTGTTAAAATTAACTGATATTTGATAATCAGTTTGTATTTCTGGTAATTGTGAAAAATGAAGTTTAATAAGTACTTAATATATCTCTATAAGCATGTCCATGGAAGCACTTTTAATTCATATTACTCTTATTAATGTGGTGTATGAATAATATTTGCTAAATCGCAAGCCTTGTTTACTGTACTATTAAAAATATGGGATCTATCACTCCAACTTAAATATTTGTTCTGTATTTTAAAAGTTCATATCAAGTTCATCTGCTAATTATAAAAAATGATTAAGTGGACATTTGATCAATTTAAATTAAGAACTGTATCTGTGGTAATGGAGTAGAATTCATTGCTGTACCTTTTTTTTGCTTTGTTTGTTTATTTAATGGCTTTACGTAGTTTGTTTAGTTTAATAGTTAAGTTAAATCGTTTGTGTTTTATTCTGTCTTAAATAAACTCTGGTGGAATCTTGATTCTCAAATGAATTCAAATTGGTAGAAAACCATTATTAATACTGAAAAACGCCAATTCGAAATGAAACTTTTGCTATCTATTCCCTCAAATTTGCCAATTTAACATGATACAGTTCAATTATGATCAAAGATTTTTGTTTTGTTTTTCCTTATCTTTCACATTAACTTATTTTTAGTAAGTTACTTAAAATGTTGACTATGCCAACAGGAATATTGTTTTTTGGTTTTTATTAAACATATTTCATGTATTAGATAGATTTTTAATGTTTCATAGTTATGTTGATTTATAATATGAAAACTTAAATATCTTTTATATATATAAAAACAATAATTTAGGGGTGATTGATTGCTACATTGACACGTCTTGATAGACCAATAAGCAACGTTTTAATTTTTGTTAAAGCCGAATGTAATGTTACTGTTGATTAATTTTTTAAAAAATTTATTATGTTTATTTTAATAATAATTTTAATGAATATTTGATACCAATTCAATAATGAGTTCAAACTTGACAACTATTAATTTGGAATTAATTTTTTGTAGGTTTCATGTTTTTCTATTTTTTTTGTCACAATTATTACATTCCATCTCAAAATTCATCCGTAGCTAGATATAATTCCTTTCTTGTATTGTTTGTTGAAATATTTTGAAACAGTTCAGTATAAAATTTATTGAATGTTGTTCTGTGATGACTGATTTCTTAAGGATGGGCGACTTATTGTGCTGGGTTTGTCTTTCTTCTATAGGTTTAATTTTCTATGTGTCAGCCATAATTTATTTTCAGACTTATCCTTAAGATGTTTTTCAACGTTTCTGCATTATCCTTAATAAGTAAGACAACTCTCAATAGTGCCCGCGACTATTAAGTGTTTAGTTTTACTAATCCTTTTATTTTAACTATTTCAATATTTGTTATAATTTTTGAATAAGCAATTCAGTATTACTTATCTTTTTTTGATGAAGTCGATATCTACTTATAATTAAATCCACATTTAGTAATTCAATATTATTTAAGATTTTTCCAGTTTTAGTTCAATTAATGATAATTTCAATTGTGAAAATAATTGATTTTTTTTTTTTCTTGATCCATAATGCTATTATACGTGTAGGAAAAAATTAATATTTTTTTTTAGGAGCGGGCGAATCAGGGAAGAGTACTATTGTTAAGCAAATGAAAATAATTCATGAAACTGGTTATTCTAAAGAAGAATGTGAGCAGTACAGACCAGTTGTTTACAGCAATACTATTCAAAGCCTTATGGCAATTATTCGTGCCATGGGACAGTTACGAATAGACTTTGCTGATTGTACAAAAGCGGTAAGATATTTATGCTAATAATATGAGTGTTTATATTAGTAATTATTTTAAAAATTAGTTGCTTTATATGCTTATGTCAATTTTAAATGTTAATCAAGCATGAGTATATTTTTTGGAAATATTCTGGACAGAAAATTAAATCCTGAACTATCTTATGAGTCTCAACTAGATATGTTTTTGGTTATTGTAATGAAGGCTGTTCTTACTGGTCTCCATTAAATTTCTTTTGAACGTGTAATGATGCATGAATGAGTTTAATTTCTTTGTTTATAAAGAGACGTTTCCCTTATAATTAAAAAGGAACTTTTGAGAATAATCGTAGATTAACAATGTGAAATCAAATGATAGATTTCTTATAGCTTACATTGAGTGGGCACTAATAGAGCATGTTATGTTTCTCAAAAACGGCTTTAATTATTTTGATTAAACTCAGTATATTAGTGTTTTATTAAGCAGTTTTTAAAATAATGTAGGTCTTATTCTCATTGATGTTCTCTAACACGGCTTAAATGGCTAATTTTCAATATTAGCTACCTCTAAAGTACCTTTGTTTTTTTTTATTTGAAATAATTAATCATTTCACATTAATCTTTAATATAAAAAATAGTGAAATATGAAAGAATTTGATAATTAACTATAGGAGAAATAAAATATCGTAACGGATAATGGTTGAAATAGAGGAACCAATGTAATACAAGCGTACTCGAGCTGGCCCAAAAGATTATAACAGGCTTCCATACGTAACATGAGCTTAACATCATACGGACTCCGACAATATTATGTAAATATACATATGTGGTTTTTATAAATGGTATCGTTGGTATAAAATAATATTTAATAGTATAGATTACTGCGATATAAAAATTTAAATTTGTATATATAGGAATAATTATATTATTACAAAACCCAAAATGAAATGTAAATAAGTATAGCGTCTATAATTTTTATTTTCACTTCACCTTTTTATGAAAATACTTATTTCTGCTAAGAAGACAGTGGTAAGTGAAAGTTGTATGATACGCGTACCAGATTATTTTTAAATAAATTACTAAGAAAAAGTTTCAGGATCGTTTAGAACAGGGTTCTCCAAAATACGGCCTGCGAATGTTTCTTTGATTACATGGTAAAATTATAAAAACTATTTAAAAGTGTGAAATTTAGCCAATTACTCACATGTGAGGTAACTGCTACATTTATTGCGTGTTTTTTTTTTAATCTCTTATAAAGCTTATTTCACAGCTGAAATGTCATTTATAGAACAAGATTTTTTTTATCAAACTACAGCTTGCGGGATTAGGGTGGAGGTCTCAATGCGCCCTGCGGAACTTAGTCAAGATCTCAATGTGACCCATGGTTTAGAATATCAGAAGTCCGTTAGTGTAAAACCTTGAAGATTGCAAGCACTCATGAGAATTTATATTTTTAAAACTAATGAAGTATATGTTCTTCTGCAAATAATGTATTTGCTGGTGATATATTGTATCTCGTCATTTGCAAGAAATTAAATTTAAAGAAAATAATAATAAATGAAACTTCTGGAAATCACTCAGAATCGACTAGTTATCAATTAATGGGGAATTAGAATATTAGTTTCTAAATTACATAGTAAATTAGAATCAATGTTTTTCTCTGACATCTTTTGTTTCAAAATCAAAACAAATTTACATGGTGGGCCAGACCCCTTACTGTGCACCCCTTTCCCTCCACATCCTTACAAATTGCATATTGTTGTGTTCCTTTTAAAAATTTATTTTAAAAAAGCCAACTTTTCCACAAAAAAAAGTGGCTGCACTGCTCCAAAATAGCGGACTGATGATTTTGACTTGAGTTAGTTTTTTTGGTCATCGAGAATCAGCATTTGCCTTAATTTCATCATAATTGGCCTTTTAATAAAGCTGGATAGCCAGAGAATAATAAAATATTAAAAAGTAATAGGCTTAGGTAATACAAAACACCAGTAAAGTCAATTTAAAGAAAAATAATTTCAAGTTGAAAATCAAGCATCAATTATAAAAATGGCCTAGAATAACAAAAAACGCCCAAAATAAAACATCTGGAGAATACATTTCTCCTTCTAAAACATTATTTACTTTTTAAAATATTTTAAGCGGTTCCGTAGAAAATGGACTTAATCGGCGGAAAAGCGGTACTGGCATAGGTACCTACAGGTCTGTGCCACATCATTCAGTACTCACAAATGCCATAGTTATAGTGCTTTAATAACGTTTTTGTTTATTGTTTTGATTGTATTAATGAACAAATAAATATCAATGCAATAATTTAACTGTTCAAAAAATTATACAATTTTTTTTTTTTTTATCGTCTTTACCAGAATAAACCTTCAGCGTCTCCGTAATCTCATCCGGACTGCCCCAGCTTTTGACCCTATTCTAGTAGCTCCTTGAAATACTTTCTTAATCTGTCTACTATACATTCATTCAGCCAAATAATGGATAATGATCCTTGTTTTGTTTTCAGATATTTTGTTTATATTTTCCGATTTTGGGTTCCTTTTCTCATTTTCCCTCATTTTGAGACCAAATACTACCAGTGATTTGGTATAATGGTCGCTCTTTCCATTATAATTTATGCAGAGAGAATAAAGCATTTGTTATTAAAAGTTTTCTAATTTGTTATATGGCCCCACTTCAGAACAAAATAAAAGAAATAAAAAAAAAAAAAAATTAAATTAATTTTTTTCTTATTGATATATGGGTTTTTACTAACTAATTAGTAACTATTCATTATATGTAAATCGGATTAAGTGTCAATTACTTTCACTAACCTATATGTGTAATATATGATAAGGGAAAGTATTATGATCGTCAACAATTTGTAATCTAAGTTTTCAACAGAAATACAAGTTTTGAGTTCTGCTGAATCTTAATAACAAAGTCCCGCAAAGTGGTCTCTGTGTGTTTAATCAGCGTAGCTCATGAACGAAAAGTCGTATGAAACTGGTATTACGTATTTAAGATAGGTATATGCCTGGGATGTTACAGAAACTTCTTGAAAATCGGCTACCCAGAAGTGATACTTTATATCATCGATTTTGCCTATTTTTACAATTTTCTCAAACACAGCTCAACAATTTTGTTAAACTCAGTATACTGTTTACGTCTTATCCTCGTTAATGCTGCTTAACAGGGCTTAAACGTGAATTTTCATAATTTCTTTCTCCATAGTACCTTTAATTTGATTTATTTTAAATAATTAACTGTCTCTCATTGTTAGTAATAATATAAAAGGCTCAATATAAACTATGAATGAATTTGATAATTGACTTGAGGAGAAAAATGGAAAAATGTTTTTTTGGGTTGAACATGAATTTCCTGAAATAGTGTAGTAAGATGTTATATGTATAATATACCATTGGAAATCTGAGAATTTCAGAAACAATATCTTACATACAAATTCATAGAAGGTAATGGAGAGGAACAAAAAAATTATGAATAACAATTTCCAAAAAATAATTTTATTCAATGGAAACCACATGTTTCCATAAAAATTAAATACAATTTCATAACTAAATGTAACCTTATAATATTTGTAAACTGATAAAGTTTTGTATGTTTAGGACTATGCCAGACAATTTTTCACCCTAGCCAGTGCTGCTGAAGAAGGAGAATTGACGCCTGAACTTGTACAGTTAATGAAAAGACTTTGGCAAGATCCCGGTGTTGAGCTTTGTTTTTCAAGATCTCGTGAATATCAGCTGAATGATTCTGCTGCTTATTATTTAAATTCTTTAGATCGTATTTCGCAACCCAATTATGTACCTACCCAACAAGATGTTCTTAGGACAAGAGTGAAAACTACTGGAATAATTGAGACACATTTCACATTTAAAGGTCTTCATTTCAAGTAAGTATTTTTATTAAATGATTTTAGATTATTTAAAATTATTTACATATTCAAGGTTGGCTCAGATATTTCCGTCCCATTAAGATTTCCCATACCCTGGTAAATTCTTACTCTTAAACTATTATCTCAGGGATATCTAAATAATGATAAAGTCTCTTTTTCTATAGTATTACACATTTTTCCCTCAAGTTGTGGAGTGAATTTTACAATTTTAATTTGTGATAAATTGTCTTTTTCTATAGTATTACACATTTTGTCCTCAAGTTGTGGAGTGAATTTTACAATTTTATTGCCAACTGAAACCTTGATCATGCATTTCCCAGGAGGCAAATCTGCATTAATAATCTGGTATATTTGAAGTTAGTCGGCGTCAACAAATACTGAGAGATCTGACCATTGTTAAAAAAAAAGATTCAAATGTTGACTACAAGCTGAGCTATGCCATGTTTTCTTGTCACCCTCCGTCAAATGTCGTTTATATTTATTTAATATCCTGTCGATAATTGCTCTAATCATGGCAGAGTTGGTTTCATAAACTGTATCGCCTTTACCAGTAGCATCTAATAATACTTTCAGTTGAGCACACCAATTATATTTCGAGAGAGCAGGATTAGATTGGTAATATTTGTTTCTTAGCTTTTCAAAAAATGTTTTAGGATATCTTAATTCCTCCATTTCCACAAGCTTAACTAACCAATTTAAAGAACATTTCATGACATTGAAACCAATATGAATAGACCCTGTTTCTAAGCGTATTAAAAAGTCTGGGGTGGATTTACAAAGCGAAAATTTCTTATTATTAAAATTTATGCTGACCTTTTCTAAGAACTCAATCTATCGGAGACCCCATACCTAGGCACAATAAATCAGAGATGTATTAATGGTAGCTTTTTTTCAACTTTTCTCATACCTTCCAAGAGTTCATTTTGGCTTTTGATTAAATGTTTATTACAGTGCCTATTGTCGAGTATGACTTTGAGATTGCTGTCTTGGCTTCTTGTAAAAACAAAGCAGACCTACAGAAATAGACACCTAAATAATTTTCATTTTATTAATGTTTATAATCAGTCTATTGTCCCTGCAATATTCATTTATAGCAACTTTTTTTACAAGGTCTGTGTATGAATTGGCAAAAATAGCTATGTCATCTGCAATCAAGGATTTGGGTAATAAATGTTATAAGTTACTTTCATTGTATTCTATAGAGGGAAATTAAACTTTTGGTCTTAGTTAACAACAATTTTTTTTGTTTATTTGTGTCATACTTAAATAGAGTTTAAGTTACCAAAGTTACAATAGATGTCGTACTAAGTGATTCTACATTAAGCACAGTAGCTTACTTTAAGTGCTCTAATCCTGAAGATTGACTTCATGAATAGCCCTAAACATTGGTTAATGTAATTAAAAATTGTGTATTTTGATTTACATTTATATATAATAATGCAATCTAAATTGAATGACTCCTTATATGAAATGATTTAATTATAAATTACGTCTTTCATACCTGCAATTTTTTTCTTTTTAGCATTTCATTATTAAGGAGGTAAAAGGTAAGGGAAGACAAAGATTCGTTATATATTTATGATTTTATTTTTTAATATAGTAGGTTACTTTAAATGAATTGTGAATTTAATAAATTCCAATTCATTTTTTTTTATAATTTTCGTTATTATTTTGAAATGAAAAATGGTTGTAATGTTTAGAAATGTACTAATTATCGCTATTGCTAATTCTGGAATGAGTAATATTTTATAAAATGCTCTAACAATAATAATAACAATGCTCTTAAGAAGACAATAATTATTAAAGTTGCAGTGAGAAACAGACTTAAATGTAATATGTAAATCCTTTTTTATAGGCTGCACTTTTAGTAAAACGGATCATGAAATTAATCAACAAATGTAAACTAAAGAGACAAAAGACAAGTGCGTTAGGAGGATTCCAGTAGTCAGCCTTGATTGTAAGCCCCATCATATTGGAGATTTATGAAATTAAATAAAAAAATAATTTTATTCTGTTACTACTGTCCCCTAAGAATAATAACAGTGTTACGAATTTATGGGTCTTAGTCTGACTTAGAATAATAAAAAAATACAAACTAATTAACTGTTAATTATTATTTCAATTGTGAAGTAGATTGAAATTAAACAGTGTACATATTCAAATAATTTTACATGTTTGCGGAAGTTTGAATGTGGAGTAGGTGGTGGAACAGGAGTTGTTTAAAGGAATTTGTAGACGAGGATTGACGTATGGAGGTAGGAAGAGAGTTCCAAAAGGAAGCAGCACAATGACGAAGGATTTGCTGAAGGAAGAAGTTTTATGGGAGGGGATATATAAGTCTATAGGTTGAGACCTGGTATTAAGAGAGTGGATAAAGGAAAGTAGAGTAAACAATTCCAGGAAAGACACAACATCAAGTTGTATGCGCAGCACTGCAAATTTACTAATTAATTAAGTCAAAGTTATGTGTTTTTGCTGTTGTGTATACTATTCCGATACTGGAAACACCCACCTTTGCCAAATAGGCAGGAGGGGGTGAAAAATAAATAAGTAATGAAAGTTTTCTCTCACAAAATTAAAATATTAATTTATTCTAAATGAAAGTGAAATACAAACAATTTTCTTACTATGTGTTGAACAGAAATAATTAGTGAAAAAAGTTTGTATTATCCATGGTTTCGAATTAGTGAAGTTCGAATGTACAAAATTATATTTATACTTTATTGAGTATAGACAACTTAGTTATTTTGGATTTTGTTATTTTATGGTAAAAATAATAAATATTTAAAATAAAATAAAAGATTTTATACCCATTTTTAATAAATTTACTGAAGATTTTATCCATAAATAACTAGCACCATTGATGGACATAGTTAAGGAATACCATACTTGGTTTTTTTTTCAAATCAAGATCATTTAAAAAAAAACAACTGATTTTGGGTGACAGTATGAATGCATACTTTGAGTTGGATAGCAATCTTTAAAAATATATAGATGCTCTTTTATATTAATAACTCACTATTTACTTATAGTTTTTATTTTTTTAAATTTGGTTCTCTAACTTAAAATTATTATCATTGCTTGAAACCGAGTGAAAATTTCATTATTTTTTATTAAGGTATACTCACTTTTTAAAATGTGTAGATATAATTGCTATTAATGTAATTCCACTATCCACTTTAAAAGTTTTTTAATTTGTTCTATTATAAGTCTTAATTAACTAAGAGATGGAGATATAGTTGACTGAAAAAATTATAACGATGAAAAACAGTCATAAAATGCAGTCATTCTGTTTTGGTGTTTATTAAATTTTCGGTTGCTTCGACCCAGCCATATGAATGTGGGTTATCATCAGTGCAATAGTTTGAAGGCAAAACAAGAACTGTCTTATTTATAGTTTTGTGCATGAATGTGGATATGTAATATATACATATATTTATTATGTATTATATTACAGTGTTTAATAAACTTTTTATGTGTTCAATTTATAATTATTAATTTTTTAATTCCAGAATGTTTGATGTTGGTGGGCAGCGATCTGAAAGAAAAAAATGGATTCACTGTTTTGAAGGGGTTACAGCTATAATTTTCTGTGTTGCTTTATCAGGTACTTTTGCAAGTTTTAATTTATATGGCCTAATTTATAATTCATATAATTGTAAAATAATTATAAGATTATTATTAGATTATTATAAGAGAGTGAATAAAAAATAAACAAGATTTTATTTTTAAAAAAAAATTCATTTAATGAAAAACCAATGGCAATTATAATTTATTTTTCCACATAGTTTCCTGCTTCTTCAAATCATAGCCTTGCTTGGGCTTCTTTAAAGAGTCCAAACAAATGGAAGAAATCACAGGGATATATGGGATAAGGAGAATGTTTAAATTAACTCTAGTGCATTTCCTATAGTTTAGAGACTGTTAAATCTGCAGTATGGGGCCTGCCATTGTGGAGAAGGATGACCTCTCAAATCAGTTTATATTAGTTAAAAACATTGATTGTGTGCCGCCGATAAATGTTCTGAGTTGGTAAACCAGAGGGATATAGCGTTCCACCACAACAATGCTAAGCCACATACATCTTTGTCTTACCAACAAAAATTATAGAAGCTTGGTGGAATTTGTTGCCACATCCATCATACATTAAAGACCTCACTTCTTTCGATTACCATTTATTTTGTTCTTTGCAGAACTTTTTGAATAGAAAACAATTTATCGATGAAGATGATGTTAAAACACACTTGTATCACATTTTTTTATGAGACCCAAATTTTCTAAAGATCGAAATGTTTATAAACGTAGAATCATGATGCTGCCTGAATGATGGCAAAAAGTCATTTATGAAAATGGACAATCTATTAAAGATTAAATACATTTTGTTACAAAATAAATTCCCAAAAATCTGCCATTACTTAGTTGACAAGCCTATACAAGATGGTTGGTTATTAAAGTGATCGAATTTTTCATAATAACAGAAATCCACGCTTGTCCATTTACTGGGAGGTGCTAATAGTATCGATTTTTTGGCTAGGTTTGAGTGGGTGTCAGAAGTGACATTAACCACTTTCCAAGCAGGGGCCTAGGTACTCAACTCATGGTAAACAAATGAAAATCCTGTCACATTCCTAAATATTGTTATTAATTCCTGAGTGTTGTGTCTTTTATAAATGAAGGGTCAGAGATGAACTTAAGGAACAACGTATCACAAGAAATCGATAAGTGTATGGATATTTTCCACAGGTGTTTCTTTGGTTTGGAAAAACATTTAAATTACAGATTTATTACCAAAATTAGCCTAGTAGTATAATATGTCCAGTGGTCGCCTATGGATCTGTCATAAGCATGGAAAAACACCAACTTCATGGAAAACTGACTTCTAATATTTGAAAGGCAAGCACTGGGGATAATTTTGGTATGCGATTTGAAAGGTCAAAATCTTGAGAGATGGGTTCCGCACACATTAAACGACCACCAAAAAAACCAGCGTTTTGAAGTTTGTGCTACACTTCTTTGCCAAATCAAAAATAACCCTTTTCTGTCCAGAATTGTTACTTGTGATGAAAAATGGGTACTCTATGAAAATAGTAGACGTTCTGGAGAGTGGCTCGACCATGGAGAAGCAGCAGAACATTTTCCAAAGCCCCTAACTCATCAAAAAAAAAGTGATGGTTACTGTTGGTGCGCTTCATTTGGTTTGATACATTACAGCTCCTTAAAACCTGGAGAAATCATAAAGAGATTAGTGATAATCTCTAGGAGAACAATACCTCTGCCTCAGATATAGTTATTATCCTGAAATTACTTCCATTCCTTTAATCAAATTTAAATGTAAACTATTATATATTTTAGGTTATGATCTTGTACTTGCGGAAGATGAAGAAATGAATAGAATGATTGAGTCAATGAAACTTTTTGATTCCATTTGCAACAGTAAATGGTTTGTAGAAACATCTATTATATTGTTTCTTAACAAAAAGGATTTGTTTGAAGAAAAAATAACTAAAAGTCCATTAACAATATGCTTTCCGGAATATACAGGCAAGTGTTAAAATACTTTATGGTACTTTTATTAGTTTAACATGTTATTATTTATTTAATCAAATAATTTACAATATAATACCAAATTTGAGTCTATGTTTCTTAAAAATATATTAACAAATATACCTAAGACAGGGGTTCCCAACTTTTTTTCAGCAGCGGGCACATTTATAGGTTATGTCTTGAATGGTTAGCATCGTGTTTTTGTTCATTGTAAATTGCAGGTAGGTTACTGTTTATAATTTTAAAACTAAATGTTAATGATATCAATAAAAAAAAAAAAAAAAATATATATATATATATATATATATATATATATAGGCATAGTAGCAGACATCTTTATCATTTTTAAAACTAATAAAATATATTTCTACAGTGGCGGAAACACCAAGTGCAATGACTGTATTAATTTTATATAGTTTTCTTATATTAAATTAACACATTTTCAATTGAAAATTGAAAATTAATTAAAAAGCGATATGAGCCTATAACTAGTTATAAAATGAGTTAAATGCAATGCGACCAAAAGTTTCATTCATTTTTACTAACAAAGAAACAGATTAATCAAAACACTACAAATAATATATCGATAAATGAATTATTATTTAATTTTATATCTATAAACTCTTATTATTATATTTTTAAATATTCATATATTTAATAAAGGAATTGTAAAACATTTGAATTGAAAACTCGTCTGTATGCAGCATGCCACATAAAAAAATTATGATTTAAAGAAATGCAAAATAAATTACAACTTTTTCTGCAGCAGGCAAGAGTAAAACTGTAATAAAAGCGATAGCCGCTAAAGTTTATGTTAGAAATAGGTGGCCACAATGGTGCCCGCAAGCTCTGGGTTGGGAACCCCTGACCTAAGATTTTAGTTTAGTCCTTAAGTATAAAGGTCTTTTAGTTTTCTTTTGAATAAAGGTATTAAAGTTCTTAGTTTATCTCTATAATGTGACCAAATATTTTTGCCTGAAGTGGTGTACTCCTTGTAGTTGGCTATGGGGAGGTTAAAAGATAAAATCCTCAACAATTTTGATATTGGAAATGCAATTACATAAACTTTATTGAAAAAATTAATATGTCTTTATTTCACAAAGGAATATTTTCATTTTCTGAACTCTTTGAGATGTGAACATTTCACTTACATTTTGCAAAGGGTCTCCCCCTTCTCCAGTTTTGCTAAATTCCTAACTTTTTTAATTTCCAAATTGTTATGGGGGATTGTTATAATACTATGCCAGGAGAAAGAGGATAGTAGAAAAACAAATAAATTCAGTGATGAAAACAGAAATTCAAGTTTTAAAGTAATTCTGACTGAGCCAAAAAAAAAAAGACATTATATCCTATTAAACTTTCTACACACAATAGTTTAATTATTGTCAACATTTTCGCATGAAAATCTGCTTTGGTTTAGTTTTTGATAATTGGAAAACTAAATATCTCTCAAAACCTTCCAGATGCTCGTTTGAAAAATAATTAAATTTCCTACAAAGTTAAGTAGGAAAAATGTAATCTTAACCAGACCAATATCAGTGAACATATTTCAAACAATTTTTTATTTGGACTTTCGCATAAAGCAGTTCGGGAAGTTGTTTGAGTGGGCGTATCAGATATGTTTCTTTTATATCCTGCTGAAAATGGAATTTCTGGTTATGTTTCTTTAAATATACTAAGTATAAATTGAATTGATTGATTATTGGTGGTTTATTTATAGTAATTTAATTATTCATCCCACAGGTTCAAATACTTACGAAGAAGCTGCTGCATACATTCAAATGAAGTTTGAAAACTTAAATAAACGGAAAGATCAAAAGGAAATATATACACATTTCACTTGTGCTACAGATACACATAATATCCAATTTGTTTTTGATGCTGTCACCGATGTGATTATAAAAAATAATTTAAAAGATTGTGGCCTATTTTAGGCTGAAGGTTTTATTACATTAAATTATACTGCCATTTGGAAATTCCATTATCCAGCTATCTAGCTAATGTGATAATAGTTCTGTATTTATTTAATTGATATTGTATATTTTTATAAGGAATTGCTCTCTTAATAGAGAGGCTACTTAGTAAAAAATGCATCTTCTGTTTATTCTCATTTTTTTTTTTTTTTTTTTTAAGAAAAGAAATTTACTAAAGTAATCTTTTGTATTTTTATATAAAATAGGTCTCTCAATAAGAGAGATAACTTAGTTAAAATTATGTTTCCATGTTTTTCAAGAGAAAAAGGAAGTTAAATTAATGGTTAATTATTTTTGTATGAAATAGGTCTCTCATATAGAGAGACAACTAAGTGAACTTAATATGCTTTCTTTATTCCATTTGTTTTTAAGAAAAGTGCTAAAGTAATGTGATCATCTACTTAACTATCTGATTGTATTATGACTTTTGAGGACTGATATCTCTTATTGTATTTCTATATCAAAGAAAATTCCATTTTTATTTGTCCATTAAAGACTTCAAAAATTCAAGATCTGAGTGTCTCTCGAGTAAGTGGTTTATTTATTATAATTTTTACTTCTATTTACTTAATTTATATGCTTATATATAATTATATTTTTTAAATCAAAAAAATTTGTTTAGAGACTTTTGTACTTCATAATTTTCTGTGAGAATGTTGTACTGTACCTAAAACAAAACATACTGTTGAATTTTATTTTATGTTATCGATTTCATCTTTCTTCTTCCAAGTTGTTTTATAAATTTTGTTATAACCAGGTTTAATTTAATGGTATATTATCGAATATATTATGAATTAATAACAAATTTTCTGTTCATTGCAAGACTGTTTCAAGAATTGGTACATGTTTCTCAGTGATGAAAAATAAATACCTTTCTTTATTGAATTAATATTATTATTATTATATGTTTATATTAATGAATTAAAAAAAATACTATCTCATTATCCTGTTGTTTGCTTGTCAATTAGTTTATTATTTCAGTAAATAGAATTATTTTACTAACTCAGAGCTTGTGTTGTTATAAAAGTATAGTGATCGTAATTTTAGTAAATTAATCGGCTTTATATTTTTTATTCAACCAAGGTTATGTAATTTTATATATAAAGCTGTTGAGCATATAAAATAGCTCTTAAACATTATATTTCTTTTCTTTTCCGAAAAATAATCAAGAATTTATGAACAGAATATTTTATAAATGGTGTAACTCTTACATTTCTTGCAAATCTTATGACATTTATTTTTAAATAATAAACCTGTATTGTAATAAATAGATTGATTTAAACGTAATCGTTGGACATGTTGAAAGTTTTGTTTTCATGTTGTTAATCTGCTAAGATTTCTGATTTAAAAAAAATAAGATGTTAATATTTTTTATACCATAAGCTATTATCGTATCATCCACTGTTTTAAAATATATATATTTACTGTAACATCACTTACTTTTAAATACCTTATATGTATGTAAAATAGAATTTAAATAGCATACATAAGCAACTTATTTGTTGGGGATAGGTGAAACTGAAAATTCAATCAAATAGGGCAATTAGTCCATACTAAAAACAAGTTATGATTTTTTTTAAAATGATGAATATGTCAAATCTTGGAAGTTTAAACAAGAATTTGGCCATAGGCTGCTCATTACTGGTTTATATAGTTATGTGATTTTTTTTTTGTATTGTTTTTTAAAATGTATTCCTTGTATTTAAAAGCTCTCCTTTAAATGTAAGTTTTTTTATTTTTGTATCCATGTTATAAATGCTCTCTATTAAAATAATCTCAGTATATTTTTGTTTTATTATTTTTAAAATAATAAATAATGTCAAAAGTAATTTTAATTTAGTCAATAGCTATTAAATCAACTTCATGACAAAATATGCTCCAATCTTTTTTTTTTTTTCAATGCAGCATTTCTCTGTGATAATTGGGACCAAGTGATTAAGGATTAAACTATAAATAAGTAGGTGATATTTGTTATTGTCAAATAAATTACTTTTAGATAAAATGTTACTGCAGCTGTTATGATGCAAGTTATTTGGTTAGACTTATGAACAAGTTAAAATAGATCATAACTGTAAATCAGAACATTTTATACTATAAAAAATAAAACTGATCTAGTGTTGCTTTAATGAATCTTATTTACTTTTCCAAGTTATTTATTATTTATCTTTTAATTTAAATTTAAAATTGATTGTTATATACGTGAAGTTTTCTGCTCCTTATTGTGGTCATAGATCAATATTTGTTTTTGTTGTGGGGTTTATTCTAATTAATTGTACTGATATGTTGTTGGACTGCTCCACATTTTATTAATTTATTATATTTTTTTATTTTTTCACAGCATTCCAAATTATTTACATTAGTTCCTCTTAAAAAAAAAAATAAATAAAATACAGGGACAGTTTTATTTAGTTTAGTATACCATCAAAAATAAATAAATTTAAGATCAACACTTTTTTAATTTTATTGTTACCATTCAATAGAAATGTGAATAAACCATATATAATAATTTAAAATTAATTAGTTTTATTGATGATATTTTTCTCGTGGAATTGTTTCATAATAACCGTTATTCATCAACATCTTAAATATTTTATGTCAGTAATTTGGCAGGACTAATTATCTCTGTATATACAATGTTGAACATGAAAAATATATCAACTGTATAAAGAAAGTATATTTTTCTTAAACTTAAAATTACTTCTTAAAAATTACCCAGTTGTCATATTAGTTCTACTATCTGTTGCAGAGATTAATGTATTGAACATTTTCATTTTTAAATATTGCCCTACAAGTGCCATCAAAAATTGTGTAAAATGTCATAGATAAAAAGTAAATTGTTACATTATTTATGTATGTTGCTAAATTTTGTATTTAATATTAAAATAAAGTTTATACAAATAGATTTATCCATGTTTCCCATTTTAGTTCTTTTTAGTAATATACTTTTATCTTATGAAAATAATAAAAAGGTTAGGCATAATAAGTAAAAATTTAATCTTTTGAATTTGTTAAATATTATAGAAAAAAAATACAGTGGACTCTAGCTTTAATACAGTTCAAGAGGAAATAAAACTACCTGGTTTAAGGGTACTCGTTAATAGCGGGAAAGAAAATTAAATGTAATTGTAAGAACTACGCACACAAGTATGTAATATAAGATACTTAATTAAGGCTGGTGTTTCTTGCTTACTAACAGTGTACTGATCAGGATTCAAAATGATGGCAATATTTGATAATCGTGTCATCCCATTATTCTAACAGTGTACTGATCAGGATTCAAAATGATGGCAATATTTGATAATCGTGTCATCCCATTATTCTTTTACATCCTCTCAAAAAGTTGGTGGGATTCAGTGCAGCACAGTATCAAAGAAATTTATTGGTTTTCTAATATATGCAATGTCTTGCCTACAAGTGCAAAACAAAAGGTACCATTAAGTAAAAACATTAGGTAGTACTAGTGTAATGCAGGAGCTAGGAACTACCCAGAATTTTGAAGTAAAAATCTCAATAGTTTACAAGAAATGAGAAAATATAATTCTATGTACAGTACTTTCTAGATTCTAGTATTTGCTAATTTCGCGCATAATAATGATATATTTGTATAAAACAGGCCCTTCAGTAGGTCTTGTGTGGGCTAAGTGCAAAGTGCGAACTTTGACCACCTTACATAATTCTAAATTGGCCAGTAATCTATTTTTTCACATGTTTGTGAGTTAAATTTGTACCTAAATGTTCCTTTTACTTTTCACCAAATTTTTACCAGCCAGCTTGTAGTTTTTTAATAACAGTAAGTGGAACTGAGGTTAGAAATAATAGTTTCTGCTTGATAACTTCTCATTAATGAAGATCTAAATAAAGGTGAAAAGAAATGATGTAGAAAGTAGAATGTGAATAGGAGTGTCCTGTTTTCAAGAACATTCTGTATATATATTTTGGAACTGGTCTGTGATGCCCTCTTGGCTGTGGCGACTGCCCATAATGTTCTACCCACCCAACAGCTTTGGACCTTGTCATCCCAGTTAAAAAACTAACTATGCCCATGGCAGGTAGGTTATTATTTGCACAAATTTTATTTATATAATGTAGTTCATGATTTATTATATTTTGTATCAGATATAATATAAGTAACTAAGTGTATGATGGATCTGGTTTAAATGCTCGCAGCAGCTCCTATTTTGTGGTACATATGCATGTAAGGTTACCATTTTTTAAAAATCATTCTGATGTTAAGTTGTTCCTACTACTAGTTCTATTTTTTTAAAAAGCTCATCCCAGTTAAAAAACTAACTATGCCCATGGCAGGTAGGTTATTATTTGCACAAATTTTATTTATATAATGTAGTTCATGATTTATTATATTTTGTATCAGATATAATATAAGTAACTAAGTGTATGATGGATCTGGTTTAAATGCTCGCAGCAGCTCCTATTTTGTGGTACATATGCATGTAAGGTTACCATTTTTTAAAAATCATTCTGATGTTAAGTTGTTCCTACTACTAGTTCTATTTTTTTAAAAAGCTCAACCCAGTTAAAAAACTAACTATGCCCATGGCAGGTAGGTTATTATTTGCACAAATTTTATTTATATAATGCAGTTCATGATTTATTATATTTTGTATCAGATATAATATAAGTAACTAAGTGTATGATGGATCTGGTTTAAATGCTCGCAGCAGCTCCTATTTTGTGGTACATATGCATGTAAGGTTACCATTTTTTAAAAATCATTCTGATGTTAAGTTGTTCCTACTACTAGTTCTATTTTTTTAAAAAGCTCTGCTACTACATTATTTTTTGTTTTGTATCATGTGTAGCTATAATAATTAAAGAAACACTATCACGAGCATCAATTGTTTCTTCCATTTTTAATTCAGAACTAAGTTAAGCCTGGAAAATATGTATTCAGAAACTACTATCTGTGTCTGAGCAACATCTTACACCTATCAACGAGTTGGCTTCATTTGTATCCTGGTCTGTAAATACCCAAAGAGATGGGCGAGAAAATAAACCTATTGAAGAACCTTAGAAATAGGTTTGTATATATTAAATAAAAACAATGACAATACAATGTTTATTCATAAAAGGAATTTTTTCAGAAAGGTAATGCAGTTCAGTTAATAATATACTAAATTACTTTACTTTAATTCTTAGGTTCTGCAGCCCTTGTTGGGCCTTGGCTTCCACAACAATGCCTCAAGTCCTCCCTATCAGCTTCTCCATTGTCTTATTCCTATCTTTTGCAAATCGTCCTCAACATCATCGATCCATCTCAGTCTGGGCCTTCCTCTCCTTTAATTCCAGGTTTTCTGTATAATAGTTTTTTTGGGTATCTATCTTCTGCCCATGCCATCTTTTACCGCTTGATTTAACATAAGTAACTATCTCTGCTCCATAATATAATTCCCGAAGTTCTCTATTATTTCTTCTTTTCCATTAGCCATCTATACATACTGGCCCAAAGATCTGTCAAATCACCTTCCTTTTCCAGATCCGAGGGATCTTCTCGCATTCCTGTGTCAGGACCCACGTTTCACCTGCGTAAGTGACAATTAGTCTCAAGATCGTTTTATAAAGAAGTAGATCTTTACCTTCCATGACTGGTTTTAAAAACGTGACATGTTTTTGACACATACATAAAATTAATTCAAGGCTTCAATTCTAATGACAAAAATATGGTTTTACTCTGAATAAATTACTATACAACTACTTTGGTTGGTGAAAATTGTATCTCATCGCTACCAAGCAGATGGGCGATTTAAAAATGGCTTTGAATTTATGATTAGATAAGAGAAATAGTCCATTGTGATATTTAATTTTTATTCATTGATAGTTGTATTATAGTAGGGGATGATGCACCATTACTTTATGTTTACAGTAACAAATAAATGTTTTTCTTTATTATTATATTTATTTTACAAATATCACTTGATTAAAACTACATATGTACAAAATGATAAAAATCATAAAAAATAAAATGTCATGGTGTTTTCAGCACCATTGTAATCTACATTATACATTTGTGCATCTATTTCGAAGTAATAGATCTTCCAATATCTTCTTTCTTTTCTTGCCTTAAAACTGAAGCATTGTAGTCCATAGATTTCTTAAAACCTAAAAAATCATTTTAAGGTCAAGCATTTGTAAGATTTCCTTAATTATTAATCTATAGTAATTGATAAATTCAGGGAAGAAGATTATTTGTTTTTTTATTAAAAAAGATTTGATTACCATACTTAATAGCTATTTGATAAGTTGACTGAGAATTGAAGCAAATAAATTTTTTCTTAGGTAGTGATGATTCCTGAAATGCATACGATTTTTAAATTAACACTCCTTTCCTCTATGCATTACCACCATTTAAGGTATATATGTATGTATGTAATATATATATATATATATATATATATATATATATATATATACCATATATTTATTGCCCTGAACAACAACTAAGCAAATTTTACAGTATCCTATTTAATTATTTATTGTATTCACTTTTTCCAATCCCAGATTAACTGGTTATTTGGAAGAGAAAATAATAAAACGATAAACCTATGAGTTGTGGTGACTAAGACAAACAGATTCCATTGGAAAAAAATCCTGATGAGTACATCATGTAATATCGCTTGCAATAAGAAAAATCTGATCCTGGCATGACTATAAAATATTTTGCAACTGTTTAGGTATTATGAATGATATAAATTTTAATTAGAATGATGGTTTAAGTGAATTTTATTGAATTACTTTAAAATTGATTAAATAATTACACCATTAATTGAATAGTGTATTTGTCAGTGGGCATAAATAATTCATAGTAAATAGTGTCCAGTTTTTATCAAAATAATTATTATTCCTCGGCAGTTGGTTTATTGCTAATTTATAAATTAATTAAGTTTTAAATACATCTTTTAATAAAGAACTTTATCCAATTAATTCTTAATGTATGCATTAAAGATAATGGAAAGAAATAACCCAAAAAAGGCAGAGATGTAGCATGTGGTCTATAATGCCAATAGAAAAAAAAAAAAAAAATAAATATATATATATCAAAGATAATATTACAACACAAATACATCTTAACTATGTTTTTGCACTTATGTGTATTACAGCTTAAGTTCGTTCCACTAACTATAAATGTAGCCACATCAGAGAAAAAGTTTTCTGAATTTTTAGTAGTAAATTAGTAAATATAATTTAAAAATATTTATAGCTATTTATTAGATTTAATGCCTCGTATACTCAAAAATGGAAGAAAGATCAGGTTAATCTGTTGGTTACTTAATTATTTTCATGATACTGTATAGGATGAGATGTAATAACGCATTTACTATACAATGAAAGAATACACTCACAAGTCAGAAATGAATTGTTTTTCCATATGGGGCGCAGCTCTATTTAAATAAATACTATGCTAACATTTGAATAAGTACAAATTCATTAAAATAATTTTCCCACCAGTTATATAATCATCTATTTTCAAAATTATAATTCTACTGAAATGAATTTCATTATGGAAATACTAACCGCTCAACAGCTACAGCTTTATTAATTAATTTTAATTTATATTTTTAAGCTATAAAATTAATATTTAAGAATCCTTACGTTATTTCGAAATTATGTGGACTGCAGCTCCTGACTTTTGATTTCTGCTTTCTCAGGTCTTGCTGTTAAACAATAAATACATGAAAAAGTTATGATGGATTAACTACTTCAAATGGATCAGTTTTATAATAGGCATTTCTTAAACAATTATTTATAATATACAAAAATATTTATTGAATTGACAAGTTTGTTATGCAAATTTGTATATTATTTGAACTTTTATACATTCTTGAAAGTGTATAATGTATATTTTAATATGAAACAGCTACTGTTGAAAAAGTAATTCAAAACCCAAATCACTGGAAGTGCCACTTGGAGTACAAAGAAAATTCCATCAAAAAACATGAACTATTCCTAATAACTTTTTATTAGGGAAAGATCACTACTTATACTAGAACATATTGAGAAAGATGAATTAAAGTCTGATCCTAATTATATAATATTTTTATATCAAAATCAAAACTTGATTCTCATGGCAGGGTAGAATGATTCTGAGGTTCATAAACACTCCTGGGGCATATCCAGCATCTTTATAATAGGTACCTTTACCTGGTTAGAGGATAAATTTGACAGTTGATTGTGGATGTTGACCACATCACCTACTTGTATAACCATTGTCATTAAATAGTTCTTCTTTATTAGATACTGAGCCTAAGGACCATAATGAGTTGTAGTGGTTAGGGTAACTTAATGGCTACTCTCTCTTGCAACATTCTTACTCCTGATCTAAACCAAAATTTTCATAAAAGTGTACAAAAAAAACAACACATTTATTGCATAAAAATGTTAACAATTATTTTATTTGAAATATTGTCCATCACTAGCTGTACATTTTTCCCATCTCTCTGTCAATTTATGAATGCTATGCCAGAAAAACTGGTGCTCTTTTGTGGGGAAACAACAATCAAGCCATTTTCATCAATTTCATAAGAAATGAAGGGCTGTTGAGCAAGAGCGTTATCACCGGTCACAATGCGATGGAGAAATCACTTTCTTTTGTACTTGATGAGGAGCATTTTGGTGGTGGTTTTCTGGTTTCCTTGTAGTCTTTCATTCAGTTCATGTGGAACCCGTTTTCTATTTTCTGGATCTTTCTAATGTATGAAGACAGCTTCTTATGCTTAATTCAATTGATCCAAGAGTTGTTGGATTTGAGCATCATCCACATACAACAATCCAAAAATTCCATATCTTCAAACTTTTTCGGTGGTCTTCCTTGTTCTTTATTACCCATGTTAAAATTCTAACTTTTGAATTTTTAAAGCACTAACATCTTACCAAAATCAAACTCACCATAACCTTTGACAACGATTCAATGCGATTCTGCAGCAATTTTCTATAAGAAAAAACTGTTCATAAACCATAATTTGTTGACACAAAAATAGACCTGTTTAACACTATTAAAACTATCCTATAAATAAAACTTGTATTGCTTTAAGTTCCCAATCTTTGTCAGCTGTCAAAGAAACAAAATGGTGTTAATAATATTGCTTAATGTTAACTACATTAACAACTACAGCCATCTATGGACGAATTTTGGTTTCATATTTACACACCTGGAACATATTAATCATTAATAATCATTTCAAACTCTTTAGTTACCTTTTCAAGGTGGATAAATGCATCCTTCAATGCTTTTAGAGGGCTAATAGCAATTATATTTAAAATTTTACTATTTTCTGTTATTATAAATGAGCTTGAAGCTTGAAATCAATTAGTAAACAAAATCCAATTGATATTATTAAACACATTTTGATTCAAATGATATTCAAATATGGTTCTGAGACACCTCTATTATAAAAACAGGATATTTCTTTTATGAGGGAATTCATATTTCCTATAAAAAGAAATATGAAAGGGTGAAACAGTTTTAAATGATCAGGAGCAAACATATAAATATGGGTACGGAGTATAAAGGAGGTTGGAAACAACTTTTAAGAAAGTATAAACTGAGCGACAACAACATACAGAGCTGTCTGGTGGAAACTAATGGAGGAGGCTAAGACACTCAAATTCCTTTTCATTTGTAATATATGATAGAATTTAAATTATAAAAGTGTACTTACTTGGACAGGAACCTGGTGTGAATGTTATATCATCAACAGCAAATCCGCCATTTGTTGCTTGGCCTTCTAAAATGATATGAAAATCAGTATTAGAATCAACTGTGACTTGAGCTGGCATCCACAATGGTCTTGTTGTGTCCACATTTTTCACTTCCAAACTCCAAATCTATGAAAACAAAAATTTTTGAAATGATCATTAAACAAATAACAATGCATACATACAATGTTGTTGATAAGTTTCTGTTGGGTCTGGACCAGTTAGTTAATATATTGTGCTAATCGAGCTCCCAAATAAAGGAAAACAAATGATAACGATGGCATTAACAATTTAAAACATCTTAAACCGGAAAATGATAATGAATTAGAATTTCTGGACCAAGAAATATTTATCAGCTAGTTCAAAGATTAATTCAATTTCAGATAAGAAAAAAAGATTTCAGATTTTAAATGCATGGCCTTTACCTCAAGTGCAAAGAAATTATGAATATTTTATTTTGTCAAGGGCCATCCTTACAGTTATTTCGTTAATTTTAAAAAGAATAGCTGTAAAAATGATCCAGAGAACCAGTAATGAATACATTGTTCTACCTTTTTTCCTCGCATATTGGTAAAAGAACAGCCCTAGGAAATTAATGAATTTTAAATTTGAGCTCTAAAAAGAAATACTAAATTACTGTAATCCCTCAGTATCTTGAACTTGGTTAACACCAAATATTGGATAACACAAACTAATTTCTTAGTTTCATTAAAAATAATGTGTTTTCCGACCTATTTTTGGAAAAATCCTAGGTTAATACCTATTTCAAACAATTTTAGGCAATGGTGTATTCGGCTGACACGAACTTATTCTAGGTACAAATATTTAGTAAAATATTCTCAGCAACTCCTTACTTGACTCATTCTTATTCTGTTACCTTCATTTCTTACTACAGTCCTAACATAAAACATCTATTCCCGTGCAAACAATTAAAAATTTCTATTAAATTTTACAAAGAAATTTGTTGTAAAAATTATTATAGGATAAGTTTTGGGTTGAGTAATCATGGCTTAAAAAAGAAATAGACAGTTACCAAGGGTTCTATTGATATAAAAATCAAATGATCAATTTTAAAAGAAATGTAATATCGATAACAAAAGTACCTAACAATTTTAATTTTCTGAAACAATTTATAAATAATCATTGAAAAACAGGAAGAGAATAGATCCAACTGTTTTTGGAGCTTTTGAATCTGCTTGATGGTAAAAGGACATTTGGAGGCAAGTCATGAAAATATTGATGCACAAAGAGATAAATCTGACAACATTACAGAAAAATGAAATGACAGTTCTTTCATCTAGCTTTCCCTGAAAAAGTAAGCTTCCTGCCTTAAAATGTGGTTTGTACCACATGCTAGGAATAGAATGAGTAATTTACAATACATGAGAACTGTATTGTCCTTTTTTCAAAGTTGCATATTATAATGAATACAAACATTGCCATGATCTAATAAATTAATATGTACTAATTTATTTTTTATAAAATTATATGATTTGCTTATATATCTCATATTCATAGAGTAAATATAATAGATACCACTCTTGTCTTATTTCATAGAAACATTTAGAAAATCCACAATAACTAAAGAGAACAAGACCAAATACCTTTTCCATTTCATTGTTGGAACTGCTATTATCTTGTCTAATAACTTGCATAAGAGCAGAATCTCCAGCACCAAACGCTGCATACCAGAATGAAAGACAAATCTGTTGCTCTTCACTTCCTTGAATCAATGGTGAAGCTAATCGTACCATATTGCTTCCAAGCATTTGATTGAACAGGTCATAATAAATGTATCCATCTGGCAAAAAAATAAACTAAATTTCATTCTTCATCTGAAGATGATAACTTGCAAAATAAAAAAAATAATACCATAATATTTCTATTTAAAAACATTAAAGAAATATTGGGCAAAAATAAATGTAACATTTATATGGTTTTTGCTTTGGAATGTTTAATCGCATGTGTTGAAAAATAAAAATTTAGGTGAAGTTTAGAAATTCAGAAAACAACTTTTTAAAAAGGAATATATTAAAAATTAAAATTACTCTTTCAGATCTTAAAAGAAATATAGTTATGATTTAATATATTCTTACATTATATGCATACATGACAATTTCCTTAGCTAAGCTCTTTATGGATACAGAAACACTCTGAGATCATAATCTGAACACAGACCATAATTTTTACTATCATTGTCATGTGTATAAAGTGAATGAGTTTCACAGGAATTTGTATTTTCAATAGTCCACTGTAGAGTTCTCTCATTACATACACTTCCATATGTAGCCCGAAAATCAATGAAGAAATTATGGATATTTATTTAAGACTCTCTACATTTTTCCAATGCTACTCTTTTAGTGAAAACTTCATCTAATATCGATTTTCCTTTCATGAATCCTGCCAGTTATCTACCAATGACCTCTTCTTTAATTAAAGGTAGGATCCTCCCAAAAAATATACCGAAAAAGATCTTATCACATCAGAGAGCAGTGAAATGCTATGATAATTAGTGCATTATAGGACATCACCTTTTTTATGTATACATGACTCATATACATCATGCAACTTGTCCAACAACAATGCAATCTTCTAAACCACAGTAGTTAATAGTTGCAATAATTTTTATTTAAATTGAAAAATAATGTGATACACTATTCAAACATCCTGCTGAACCAAAATGAATGCCATATCTTATTCTTAGTGTCTCTGATGCCACTTTAGCTTGAGCATTAGAGTGAATCACTCTACCGAGAAATGTAGAAACTAGCTGATACAGCAGGTGTTTTGGAGAGAGGAATTAATATAACTCAGTAAGAAAAGTAGTGATGAAAAGTATTCCATTATTGGGGCATGGAGAAATGTTGTCTACGACTGTCCTCAAGGCCACTCCACCCTTCCCGCTCATCGTTGCTGAAAGTTAAATTAAATAAACTACCTGTGCACATATAATATCGTGCGGAGAACACAAACTATTGAGGCCTCCTGAGATCTAAAAATATCTTTGATACCCTAAGTTATTAAGTAAAGGTTTGTATTTTGGTAGTTGAACATCATTGTTCATAACTTTTAATTTTTGTTTATTATAACTTTTGATGTTTGTTATTTAAAATAAGTCTATTCATTAAAATACCTAGGCAAATATATTTAATACTTTCTTATTTCATCATTTATTTAGCTTTTTTGTTTTATGTGGTTTTGGTTCAATGTTAAAAAAAATTACCATACAGAAATGAACAATAATTATTAATTTTAAATTAATAAAACAGAGACCTTTGAATTATTTCAATTAGAACAACAATGCAAAATTTGAGTTTATTAACAAATTTTATTTCTGTGCGATAATAGCATTTGAAAAAAAAATAATAATGTCTTCTTTACTTAATAAAAGATATATCTTTGGTGCCACTGAGAATCATATCTATTAAAGTTGATGCAGAAATGAGATCTTTACCTGGACTTCCAAAGGTTTTATCAGCAAGGTTAGCTGGTCTTCTGGTACTAGTAGCCATTCTCCATGAAGGTGAACTTTTTTCAGTAGCATTTTTCCATCCACACATGTCACGCTCAAATCTACATTCACCTGTTCTCACCATTGCACCACTTGGCATGGCTAAAATGTTAAACTATTAAATATAACATTCTATATGCATGTATATATAATATAAAAATACACAAACACACACACACACACACACACACACACACACACACACACACACACACACACACAAACACAAACACACACATAAAATAATGACAATAATAATACAAAGGGTGAAGACAGGTCGCCTCCACATGGTACCCTCAGGTAACAGTATTATACTGGCTAAATGATATGTCAATGTGGAAAACTTGGGGGCTTCATACCAACTGACCGTCTCAGGAAGTAGGAGTTAAATATATTGTTTAGAACTCAGAAGCAAGGTAGGTGTAGCTGCCTGAAGTAGTCAGTCCCTCCACTGCAATAGGAGACTGTGGGCCAATCCCTCACATCCCCGAATGAAAATGATTAAAATAAATACAAGGAAGAGAGCCAGATTGTCTTTCATGGCTATGACTTGGCAAGGACTTGGAACAACAAAATATGCAATATGGATTGTATGGGGTCTATCAGGGAAGGAGATGGATCTGGTGGAAGAAATGGAGAGGACTTCATCGATGATAATGGTGATCACTGAAACAATGAAGAAGGGAAAAGGCTGCATAGATGTTGGTAATGGATTTGTGCTAATTTACTCTAGGGTAGCAACCGACAAGAGAGCTAAATCAGAAATTTCTTATTCACAGGGACTTCATAAGGAATATTGTGAGCTGGAGGAGCATTAATGAGAGGATATTGATTTTGAAGCTAAGAGATCAGGAAACCAAGAAAAATTGGACATTAATAGCAGCATACAGACCTAATGAGGACGAATTAACAGAGATAAAATATAGGTTCTTTGAAACACTTCAGAAAGCAATGGGCTATGAAGACGGAAATCTAATGCTGCTGGGAGACTTGATTGGAACAGTGGGTAGATGTCAAATTGGTTTTTTAAGAGTGCTAGCCCATATGGAGAAGTAGGAACAAGAATGGAATGAGGCTGTTACAATTCTGCATTGCAAATGACTTTATTCTGCTCAACACAAAGTATCCTCTCAAAGAAATACATAAATATACCAGGGAGGAGCCATATAGACATGAAAAGTCCATTATAAACTATATAATAGTGGAAAGAAAATTATTCCCCAGGGTGAGAGATGCGAGAGTGAAAAGAGGTCCAGAAATCGGAGGTGACCACTACCTTCTTGTAAACATGAGTGTGCTCAAACCACAGAAACGAAATAAAGCTCACAAAACAAACAAGAATATCAAGGAGAAAACTAAGGTATTCCATCTGAAAAATAAATATGTCCAGCAGGAATTTTCTAAAAAGCTGGAAGGAGGAAGAAAAAAAAATCTCTTCACCGAAAGGTAGAACAGATTATTGAATAAGAAGAAGAAGGTAATAATACATCCTTTGTTTATTCTAGGACTAGTCCCTATAGAACAAAATGCAGGGAAAGAATTGTGGGCTTTGCCATAGAGCCTCAGAGTAAAATGGAAAAGAATATCAAAATAAATAAATAGAAATACTAATATGTAGAAGGGAACTTTTAATATTAATAAATTAAAAAAAAACAAATATGAAATAATAATAATTAAAAATAAACAAATAATTTATATAAATATTTAAAGAGACGCCTAATTACTTTTTTTTTTCATCTGATGTAAACCATCAATCTACTGTGGTGATAGTAGTTTGGTGGAACTTACTGTGTTTTTTTTTTAATCTATGAGCAATATATAGGAATATAATATATTTGTTTTGGTATGTTATTTGTTCGAAGTATTGTTCACAAGTTCATTTCATCAGCTTTCCAACAACATACCCAACTTTTCAAAGCTTATTTTTTATTTATTCTATAAATTTGTCTCATTTCTAATATCCTTATGTTAAAAAGCAAAATGAATTACTCACTGGAACAAGATCCACCAAAAAAAGTAATATCATCAAACGCAATAAATCCATTAGATCTACTTGAGCCCCAAATCCCTTCAATAATTATCTGAAAATAAAAGATTTAAAACTTTTTACTAACTATAGAATTATGCAAAGTTTTTTGTTAGAACTTAATACAGCTGAAAAATGTTTATAAAAATATATTAGTTGCAAGCACTTCTTATATTTTCTACAATTATTGATGGTAAAAGAATAAAGTGAAAAATGTAAGTAAAATTTATCTTAATAACAAATAATAATAGTTAAACAATGTGAAGTAAAAAATTATTTCAGCATTATTGTAGAAATTTCATGCCATAGGTAGCTTGCGCTCTTTAGAATATTCCTTTAAAGTATTTAAGATTATAATTTAATAAACAATATGCTTATAAAGTCATAATATTGTTGAATCATCCTTCCATCTTCCTCTTGGTATAATTTTATAACCTTTCTTCATTCTTAATGTTTCTTTGTTTTAATTTAAAGACCTTAAATAACATTAAAAACTTCAACAACTATAAAGTGGGTTATTCCAAATTGTTTCATCCAAAATTTATGTTTTAGCTATTTTAATAGCTAGATTCAAATTTAAAATAAAATTTGTATCTTTTATTTCTTATTCATGTATTCTACTGCCTAACATTGGTCATTCATTGAAGTTATTGTGACGTGTTTGAATTTGTCCACTTTTGGAAATGATGTTCATACTTGTTATTCTTATGATCTTGTTATTAGAGTAGAATTTTCAGCTTATGATCAAATATTTTGTTTTATCTTCATTTACATATAGGCTGATTATCATTGTTTCTCTTATCAGAATCTTAATGAATCTCTCCATGTTTCTTTGATTGATTCTAAGGACAGCTATATCATCTGCGTATTCAAGCATTTTATGATTCATTCTGATGTATACATTTCTATTTTCATATGATATTGTTCTTATTCCCTTCACCAGCGTTAATAAGTTGAACAAACCAACATCAGTGAGAGTCCATCTACCTGCCACAATACAGTTCAAATTTTTAAGGATTCAGATACTTCTTATATTACGACTCAACATATATATATATATATATATTAGAGAGACTGGAAAGTAATATCGTTTTCTTACATTAAATTCAAATACATAAATTTTTAATGAGTTTTTATTTTTAATCACTCTCATTATCAACAACCTTTTGCCACCAACTAGTGTGCAAATTTTCAATGCTGGATCAATAAAAATCAATTGGTTTTTAAGAAAATATTTAGAAATGGAATTTTAGATATCATCTAAATTTGCAAATCTTTTGCCACTTATAAAGTGTTAAAGCGATCGAAATAAATGGAAATCCAATGCTGTAACATCAGCCAATGGTGGATGAAGCAGTACCTCCCACCTCAATTCATTAATTTTTTTTAGAGTTCATCTAGTGCATTGCAGTCTTGCATATCGTGTTGAAGAATAATGCCTTTTCTGTTGAAAATAGCTGGCCACTTTTCAATTAAAGATTGATTTACATGGTCCAAATGTTCACAATAAAGGTCTGCATTCACAGTTTGTCCGGGTTTCAGCACTTCAAAATGAACAATGAATGAAAATAATTTTATTATTGAGTATATCTGTGTATGATTATGTAGAGGAATATTTTGCTAATAAGTCCTGAAAATTGAAATGAGCTATTTAAATAGCTAGATAGATGGTATGTTTACATACCATATCATTAGGATCCTGAATCAACGCTTGTGCATACTGCCATTCTGGTCCTTGATGGTTATATAAACGCCAAACTGGTTTCATGGGAGCATCACTCTCCATTCCACTTTTAGTATAAATAGTCAAAGCTCCTAAACTTGGACCTGCATTATCTATGAAAGGTTCATTCATTATGAACCTAAAATTAAAATATGTATTATATAATTAGATACACATTTTCATTATACTCCTAAAAAATTATTAATTTTAAGACTTATTATTCTAACCAAAATGAAAGACATCTTGTTGAAATTGATGGTTTCAGATCTCTAGAAGTAAACCATGCTCTTGTTCCTGGTCGTTGTACTGTACTTCTTGCCAAAGTCATGAGATATCCTGTGTCAACAAGCCATATATATGTAAATAATGATTTAAGATTCTTTTATGAATAAGCTCTTTGTATTTCTGTTGTCTGTTAAATAAAAGAAAGAGTTTTTGTTCTAGTTGGAACATATGTATTTCATAATCATGTCTGTTTTAATGATGAAGAAATGGTTGACTGTAGATAATATGGTTGGAAAATTGGTAGGGGGTTGTAGTCAGTGAGAACACAAAAATAAATAGGTAAATAAAATAATAAAAATAATTATTTTTATTTAAGTGTTGACTTTGACTGCAACCAGAGATGTGCAAATGCTACTCTGAGTACTTTACTTTACCCCACTTTTAGAAAAACTACCTCTTTTAATAAGCTTTACGTCCATATTAATTAAGTTGAGGTTTATAAGGGAAAGTTTTGAGATTCACCTCAAGTTATTAAAGAAATGGTGTGAATTCCTATCCAGTTACCTTAATGTACCCGCAATTTCTGCATAAGTTATTACAATTAACTGTAACAAAGCATTTATTTATTGTTTTTCCGTGATATGAGATGTATTGTAATAAACATAATCGCTTAAAAACACATTTTATTCATAAATATAAAAAATTTAAAATTATTAACTTTTTAAATATTTTTCATGAAAAGTGGTTATGCACCAGTGTTTTTCTCCCAGATATCTGTCATAGGAATTGATGTATATTTATAAGTGACAAACTTGATGTTTGTCACTTATAAATATTGATATTGATATATATGTATATATATATGTATATATATATAATTTAAGATATGAATTATAATATATAAAAGTCAAATTATAAAAACAACATTGTAATATGCATATGTATATATATATATATATATATATATATATATATATATATATATATATATATATATATATAAATACTTATTTCAATCGGATATTAGGTCATTAAATTGAAACCAGTAACCAGTAAATTGCAATATATATATATGTAAAGAAACTTCAGGTTCTAACGAATCCTCACCTTTAAGTTAATCAGTTAATTAATATATTTAACACATGATATTATATAAAAATAACCATATGAAATAGTTTGCAATTAGATCAAATTATGAAATTTTTCACTGTACTAAAGACTATAAAAACGTATTTTGTTTAGTTTATATAGTTTTAAGATTTAATGCATTATTTAATCTGAAGTTGTTATTAATAAAGATTTTGTTTTGAAGAAGCAAAAGAAGTTTATAGTTGATCAAAAACATCAAGTAAAATTCCACATCCTAAAGGAAGATGATGGGGGGAAGATTTGGCAAACAAAGTTAAAAGCATATATATATATATATATATATATATATATATATATATATATATATATATATATATATATCTTTTTTTTAGAATAAAACTGATCATAAAATACCAACAACATAATACACATTAAATTTACAAAGGGAATGGATATTATTTATATTATAGGGACTTGCAGGGATGATTTCAATAGTTGCTTCATTATATATATGTATAAAATGAATATATTGAATATATTATATATATATATATATATATATATATATATATATATATATATATATATATATATATATATATATATATACACATATACATACATACTGTATATAATGAGTGAGTTATAAAAAAATACTATTCTCCCAGCTGATTTAAAAAAAAAATTATATAAATATTCAGAGTATATAGTGGCTGTTGCCATATATCTGTTTCTTTCACAATATCACTAATTGGGCTTTGAACATAAGAATTTTGCTACATAATTAGATAAGTGGACATCGACCAAAGATTTTAGTGAAAGTTAAAGATTTTATGTTGAAGATACAAAACCATTGACTGGGACAGATGGGAATCAGCAAGTCATAAGTCTGGGTCATAAGCAGGTTGAGGGAGAAATTTAATCCCATCTAGTACTTAATTTTTTTGTTTCATAGAAGAGAATTGTGGTCAGACATTCTTTGTAAGTGTTCTATTAAAGTTCTAAATCAATGGTTTGATCACCTTTAATAAATTCATAATGAATAATGCCTTTATAATTCCAAAATAAATAAAGCATTTTCAAATTTGCAATTGCATAACGACTGGCATAGCAGATTCATTTCAGTTTAACAATTGTTTCTTGATCTTGATTTCCAAAATATATTTCAACAGTAACAATTCTTTAATAAAGCGATGGTCTTTTAGGTTTTTCAAAAGTTTCAAATTCCTGCTAGACTTAGTGCCTGCTCAAATCATAAGGAACCAACACTAAGGAATGATTCTCTTCTCCTAATTTATGCAACCAACAATATATATATATATATATATATATATATCTTTTTTTCAGGTGATGGTGACGTACCAACAGCACAATATACATTACATTTATAATGAGAATGGATATTATTTATTTTATAGGAACTTGGAGGGATGAGTTCAATAGTTGCTTGATTATTCAAAGCTGAGAAATTAAAACTATTGTAATTATTACATTAATTGGCATTTAAAAAGTAATTATAAATAATTTGCAACTCTATTTATTTTTATTTGTTCACGATGTCATAAAGTTCTTATTTTTCATGAATTAAGGCCTTAATTCATGAAAAATAATAAATAATTTACCTTTTTCTGTTCCCAGAGTATGGTCTCTAGCAGTAGTTCTTACAGATTGCCCTGATGTTCGTTCCCAATCAATATCATCCATTCTCTCTCTTGAAACAACATTACTCCAACCACATTCATCTACTTCAAAAGTACAATCTCCAGATCCTGGAGCAGCTATTTGTGGAGCAGCTAGATCAGAATGGGAAAAGTATAAAATATTCAGAACAGTATTTATTTTATGTTTATATAACTGACTTGAAGATAATGCAGCAAATACTGTTACATTAATTACTTCAAGATATCGATAATTTTCTTTTTTCTTTATTTATTGATATTTACAACTGTATTATAAAAAAATACAACCAGTAAATGTGCACACAGTAATAATACAATCACGTGAAAACACTTGTTGAAAAACTACAGATTGGTAGCACTCTAATCAATAATATGATCTTAAAAAAAATGTCTAACTGAAATTGCGTATTCATTTGTCAAGGATTAAAGGTAGTCTTTATAGAAAAATTGGTTTAAAATGGATATTTTATGTACACTGGTGGACAAAATTAATGCACGTTATTTATGTTACTATTACTCTATATGTATAGTTATTTTTAAGTTTTAATTAAAGGAAGGTTATAAAAATCATAATTTAAGTATAATAAAAATATGAATAATCCCTGTCTTTTTCCTATTTATCTCAGTTGGACTCTTGCAATGGTATACTGCTAGAGCACTTGAACACTCTTTAGAGATTACTGGCTTTTGGCCAGGGCAACCTGAACATAAGCTTTAGGACACCAGTCACATGGAAGTTATAAACAATTTCAAAGTGTAAAGGATAAATTAATTTTTGTCCATTAATGAACGATCTGAATTAGAGACATAATGGTTGAAATTTTACTTTTTTTTATTGAAATTTTACCACTTTTCACTTTTACTATTGGCAAGAGATCTAAATGTGATGGTTTATTTGAGGTTTCCTTCTTCTCCACAGTATCAAAAATTTGCATCGAACATTTTATCTTGAAGCAATTAATTCAGCAGTGTATATCTATTTATCTGTATATATATATATATATATATATATATATATATATATATATATATAGCTACTGTTAGTGCAAAACATTGTACATAACAATTTTACATGTTTATTCTCTTTGTGCTGAAGATGATATTTTGTAGTTTTGCAACTGCTATAAGTAGTCTGCTAAACAGGAAAGTAAAATATGAAATTATACTAACCACAAAGAAATAATAGGTTTTTATACTGCTCTTCAGTAAAAAAATTAAATTTTTACATAAAGACCTTTTGCACTAACAGTAGCGCTATGTATATATATCTGTTCAGCTTTTCAACTGTTAAGACTCAAAATATTTTCTTACTTGGACAACTTCCTGGAGTCAAGGAAATATCATCTATCGCAATATCACCAAGATTGTTCTTTCCAACTTTACCCATCAAAACGATCTGAAAAAATTGACAAAAACTGTTTTAAGTTTAATTTTCCCTTTTGTTGTAATTCAACCAGAAAAACCTACCGGGCTAACCAGGTGCTCCATCATTATTATTTATTTAATAAAAATTATAAATTAACAAGGATCACTTTTGACTTAAGAATGCTGAGGTGCTGCCATAGGACATTTAGCCACCATTGTATTTTCCCAAATTCTGATTAATATTTATTATAAATTTAAAAGTCTAAATTATTAAATTTAATCCTGATCTTGATGAATAGGGTTTTGACGGGGATCGGTGGATGGAATAGCGATTGTTGATAGTACCAGCCTCAAACTTTCAGGATCCTTAGCCTTTTTATTTAAATTATTAAATACCTTGTAATTGTTAGAAGATGAAACAGAGACTTCTGCCTGATACCATGCATTGCCAGCTTCACCTGTGAGTGACCATATTTCTTGATCTTGTCTTTCCCTTGTGTCACTTAATAAAACACTGAGGGTTCCAACTCCATTTCCAAACATGTGAGTCCAAAATCTGAGACAAAGTGGTGTATCTGGTCCTGAAATAGTAAGAACATCTGATTCAACCAAATAAGGAATCTTGGTTTTAAGCATAATTGAGCCGCAAAAACTTTTTTTTAAATTAGTATATTTATGGATGAATGATTAAATAACATGTATACAAATTTTAAAAATATAAATGGTAAACAATTTTTGGAAGGAAATAGTATAAATAAAAATGAATTTGTTAAAGCAATTCATTGAAAGGAAGTAGAAAAATCAATTGATTGGGATCATACATTCAAGGGATAAATAGAGGAATGCAATGAAAAAATTACTAACATTATGCTGTAGAACTTGTATGAAGCTTTTGTATAAATAGAAAAAATAAACACTTCGTTGATTATATTCGTTATATGTTTAGCCTAATTTATTAGGTTAGTGGAATAAATGGAATGGATTATGTTTGCAGTTACGAAAATAACAACCTGTAGGTTCAAACTCCTGACTTGAAAGCTTAGCTACATCACCAGGTCTTCTTGGGTATGAAGAATCAATGAATGCATAACCTCCTTCCATTCCACCATACATAAAGCTAGATCTGTCAGTTGCTGGTCCTGTTGAAGGATTTCTACTGCCCCTACCCTGAAAATGTTTAACTTACTTTTCAGGTAACTAACAATATACATTTAATATAATTAAACAAAATATGTGTATATATGTGTGTGTGTGTGTACAAAATTAACACATCACCTCAAAATTTATGTTAAAGCAATTTATAATAATTTTATTTAATTAAGACTTTTTCTAAGTAAGTTAGCTTGATCAGTACCATAACATACTCTATTAAATTAAGGTCTGGGTTTTATAGTGGTCACTCATATTAATCTTCTAGAGGCACTCAACTACAATTTGAGCTCTGTGTTATTATATATTTTCAAGCTTCAGCAAGAAACTATTTTCAAATTATGGAGCTAATGGCCCTCAGAAATATTACTCCAACTGTTTTAAATACTTTTAAGCAATTAAGTATTTACACAACACATCCACTAATTATATATGTTCATCAGAAAGAATACTATCCTAGAACATGCTTTACCCTTGAGGCCATATTGAATTTTGCATATCGTTCATTTTGGCACCAAAAAATGAAAACAAGACTACCTGATAAACTTTAACCTGTTCACATATCATCATTAAAAATAACTCACTTTGAAGCCTCTAAACTCGAATCAATGTGTTATACAAATTCAAATCTGTTTCCTTTTTGAGCTTTGATCAAATGAAGACCAAACTAAGGGTGTCTGGCACTTAGTATTGCTTCAGTCAGTCTTCATCCCAATATCTAATTGGAAATTGATACCTGGCAAATTTTACTTACTGGCATTTTGAGTTGGTTGCTGTTGCCAAATGATCCATAAGATCTTAATGTGAATAAATCTCTCATCCATATGGATGAGCTCAGACATTTTTTATTTTACCTTCCAAAGTGATATGGTGAACATGCTGTATATATTTAGAGCTCCAGGCAACTTCACACCTGCTGAATACATTAATATAGTGTATTTGCTCTTAAAGAATTGTAATAATTTTTGTTCAGAATCATTAAAATGTTTTTAAACAATTCTACTATGAGAGAAGAGATACGCTATATCAGTAGAAGACTAAATTAGGTCTGGTAGTGAAGAAATCTCCTGATGCCATCATTGTCACTATAGTGACTAAAAGAATTAAACCGTGATAAAAAAAAAAAAGATAACCCAGGGATCATTCATATTTTTATTGAACTATACTTAAACCCTCATTGTTATAACCTACTAGTATAATTTCAAAAACAGCAGTAGATATGGAGTAATTTTTACATAAATAAAGTGATAATATAATCTTGTCCAGCACTTTATATACAAACACACTAATTTATAAATATATACATCATGCATTCAGTAACAGAGTTATAATGACTTGTAGCTCTGTTGAATACGTGTTGTATTAAAGCAATGAAGGTAGATAAATTTTACCAATGACCAATCAAAATCATCGTTTTCTTCATTAATCCAGCCACAAAATCCTCCTTCAAATGTACAATGCCCCCTACATTCTGAACCAGGTTTAATCACAATATTATCTACTGCAACATAGCCTCTGTACTTTCGGTGAGGGTCTGGTAAGTCTTTGGCTATTCCTTCAAATACAATCTGAAAATAATTATTCCCTTGTGAATATATATATATATATATATATATATTTATGATATAGTATGATAGAAGGTATAACTAATATATAATATATGTATAACTAATAAATCACACATATTAAATAATTTATTATCTTAGTTAATATTATAGACAAGGCGGAAATAACGTCTGAGTCAGGTATAAACAAATGCCTTTCCAAATCCACCAAAGCTCAGCAAGTTACATATACTTACCAGAATCAACAAGAAATAATATTTAGTTACAAAGCAATAGCCAAACGAATGTGATTCACATAGCCAGTTTTCATATTTCTGCCTATAAAATGCGCTATAAAAATTACAAAAGACACAACAGGGGGAAAGAGAATGTATATCTGAAGTGCCAAACGGTTACTTTCTTAAGGTACTATTTCGCTGGTACCGCCCACTGCAGGGACTGCTGACAGTTAAGCATTGCTCCGCAATCTAAGCAAACCGTCCGTATCCATACTGCTTCGTCCTGACCATTCCAAAAGTAGTGAAGCAGTCGTTAGTCCGACGGGTGTAGGTTATGTTATCATTTCGGAGAAGAGTATTCGGAAATGATAACAGTTACTTTGTTAGGTTTCATTTACTTTTTTTTTTTTCATCAAATCAGATAAAATTGAGTCATTGAATGATGTAACAAGAGTATTTTTCATCAATAGTATTTTAAAGAGTGATTCAAATATACCGAAATCCAGCTAATTTTAAATGACAAACGGAAACAGTTTAAATATTAAGTAAATACTACAATATAAACATTGAAATATCAATTTGTCTTTTTAAAACAAAATGCTGATTTAATTAATACGAAGAGACAAAACAATTTTTGTAGTTATTTCATTTCCAATATGCAATATTAATAGCTGGAATGACCCTACTAATAATTGGCAATTAATTTAATATCACAGATACACCTTCAATTCTTACATTGAGATTTCTTCTTATTCTTTCTACCATGAGGCTAATTCGAAACATTACAAGAAACCACCACTTTAGAAAGTATAAGGTGTAGTAGAAGGTGGGCATCGATAAGTAGATGATGGTTGTTAACATTCTATAGTACAAATATCACTATAACTTTATTATTCAACTTTAAATATCAGGAACAAGAGTGCCGAGAAGGAGGTGGCATTTTTACGGAGTTGTGGATTTTTGAGGAGGGCACATATTTACGGGGATATGAATTTTTGAAGGTGACCATATTTTTATGAGATTTCAATTAAAGATAACTTTCAAACGAAGATATAAAGGAAAAAAAAAAAGAAACTAAAATTTGTATAAGTTTACTTCAATACGCTCCGTTTTAAGGAGGAGAGATAAGGGGGGTAAGTGACATCGGCCTTGGGGTGGAGGGAGGGGGATTGACGTGTATTTATTAAATAAAAGAAAAAAAAATCCACATCACTTATATCGCAGCCCTTCCGATACAAATAAAAGGCATTACATTTACGACTGATGTTTTCATTTAAAATTATTTCAAACTACAATTCTTATACTTAATGTGAGGATGGTGGGACTAATACTGACTTTTCGACACGATACAGGCACTCTCATCGAATAAGAAAAATATTTACATGAACTAAATGGAAGAAAAGTCTCGATAACATATACATATCGATAGGTATCCGATAACCGTGCACGGAGTTCGACATTCGGCCAGAAGATGATTCTATACATTCGTCGATCGTTCAAAGGTATCGTTTAGCTCCGGCTCAACTCTTATTTTTATGTCGAAATATCTATTTCTACATAGTGACTAACAAGATTGTAAATTGTTATTGATTGATAGAATACCTGGTGGTTTCTGTTGTAAGTATAGAGAACTTCGGAATACACCCATATCTTGTTTGTTGGATCCTTGGAGCCCCAGAGAACACGGAAGAAGGATTCAGGTCTGCCATCCTTTCCCACCGGCTGGAGCACAACGCGAAGTCCTGAAGCACTGAGGCCATCCAGGGAGAAGCTGTAGAAAGAATTCTTAAAATTAGGCCACAATCTAGCCCCTCTGTAACATGGCCCTTTATTAACATCCTCTCATTCAAATCAATACATATATGAATACCAGCAACAGATCCATATTAAACTGGCGAGGGATGAGAGCGGAGGGTGAATGGGCCAACATGGAGGAAATTGTCTTTGACAGAAGAAAATGCAGTAATATATTTCCGAATTGTATCATTTACGGTATTTTTTTTTCATTTCTCTCGCCAGATTGTATTTTAGTACAATCTATAACTTTTTACAAGTATTTCAAAACAAAAAAAAACTGGTACGGTTTGCGCATCACACATATTTCACTTACCATTCTACTTAGAGTAGGCAGGTATATTAATATGTAGAGAAGTAAAAGTAAAAACGACAGTACAACTTCATTTAGAACTATTACCACATTTTCCCCACCCATCGAATCTGTTAACGTTATACGTTTGCATCACTTTCAACTCCATTTTACGACTATGTATAAAATTCAACCATACTAATCATTTTGGTGAAAAATGGACCTTTTGGAAAAATTTCAAGTTCTATCTGAAACATCTATAACGAAACTCATCGAAAAATGAAGTTAATATTGTATATTATTAGGCTTGTATTAGTAGACCCTTAACATTTCGTGTGGAAATATTTTTAGAAAATTATGGGTACGTGAAATATAAAAGTAAAACTCAGGATATGAAAGAGCTGTACAGAGTGGCATCGGGTATCTGAAAATGGAGATCGGCACCAATTTTTTACCCCACCCTCCCTATTCATTAGACCTAGTTCCAAGTGACTATCACTTATTTCGGTCTCTGCAGAACTCCATGAATGGAAAGAAATTCCAAACGGAAGAGGACATCATAAACCATAAAGTCATATTAAACAATGGTCAATTTATTGTAGATTAAAATAAATTTTATGCCTATAATATATTGAGCTTTATTTAACCCTGAAAAACCCAAAGGACTTATATGTCAATCACGGGCGGATCTACGGGAGGGGGGGGGAGGGCTTTCGAGCCGAAGCCTCCCCCCGTCCCTCCAAATGGTAAAATATAACCATGTATTATGAAAGAAATATTTAATAATTACCTCTAAAAGTATTATTGTTCGTGTAATTATATTTAATAGTTCTTAAAGAATCACTTATACTCTGTTTCATATAGGTAGTTAGTTCCTTTTTTTATCTTCTTAAGTGATTATCGTTATATATTTAAAAAAAAAATCTTTCGGGCTGAAACCTCCCCCAAAACTAAATCCTGGATCCGCTAGTGAACCCAATATATATATTTATAAAGAAAAAATGTTTATTTGATTCGTTACATTCGAAGACTATTTTGCGAAATTAACATACTTTCATTTCCAACCTCATAGAGCCGGAATCTTCAAGTAGTTTCTCACCAAGAGGCCCAGCTAGTTTGAAAAACAAGACTATTCTTCAATGTCTTTAATTTAAACTTATATTTAATTTAATTTTATGAACTTATAAACTTTATAATATATATACTGTAATAATATTAATCATAAAATAATCCATAAGTTCAATTACCGTTCAAACGGTTATTATCAATTTAAACACCTTTAGAGGTTTTCGACACGTAGGTATAGAGGGGTCAACCACCCCATGGATAGATTGAATATTTCGATATCCTCCACTGAACACTACTACAAAATCGATACCCCATCGGTAGCACTTATCATTTCTTTATTGTTCGATTGATATACACTGATACCTACATCGGATTACTACTACTGAGTTGGATTACTATTACTGAGATATCTGAGTATACCAGTGCCTTGTCAATGATGAATGGATTTGTAAGGGTGGAACTTCTAAAAAAAAAAAAGGTAACTGATCTTACAGTTAGTAAAGATTAATTCGAAAAGACTAAATCTATGTGATGTTTTCTATTACATTATTTATTACAATCAGGTGATGTGATTGTAAATATGTGTCTACATTCAAATATAGAAATATATCACATTTCGTTTTTATTGTTTGTATATTTTTAATCAATAAGAAAATATTAATATTACGTTACTCACTGAATGTTTTTTTAACTTGAGGGATACGAAACTGGACTGATAATTTATAATTAGTAAACATTTCGAAATAGTTGGACAACTCAATGACTTTCGCGAAAATACGATTTCTAGAATTTTGGCTAGATAGAGAAAGAGTAAAGACTTTCCGAGTGAAAACCGCAAGATATTATCAATAAACCATCAATGTAGTTAATATAAAAAAACAGATTTTGATTATTATTTAACTTTTGTTAATTCTATATTTTCTGTGTATATGGTATGAATGTGTTATATCATATATCACTATAATTATTGTCCACGTGACAGATTGTTATATTTCTAAATAAATAAATTTAAAAAAAATATATAAATAAAAGAATTCAAGGAACTTGATAAAATTATAATCTAAGGTCCTCGTTAACTGAGGCGTTGTGATGTGTTCCTAAAAGTTTCTGAACTCCGTGTTGAGCATATCGATGTCATGGTTTCGCCATGTTTAGAGACGGATCCCATGCCATCGATGAGCTCAGTACTTATCGTAAGAACTTCCCCATACCTTTCAAGTTCTTTGTAACGAAGTTATTTCTCAGTGTCAAAAATTAGTTCGCAGTTCGTATTAACGGAATCAGGTCGTTGAAGCGAAAGTGTTACGGGGAAATAGATGCATTTTTTTAGGAGATCCGATTTTGGTTAAGAGTTTTTTGCACAGGCGGACCTACCGGGGGGGGGGAGCTTTCGGGCTAAAAAGCCCTCCTCCCAAAAAAAAGATAAAATATAATCATGTTTTACAGAAAAAAAGATTAAAAACTATCTCTTAAAGTATTCTTGTTCGTTTAATTACATTTAATAGGACTTCAAGAACCACTTAAACACCATTTCAAGTAGGTAGTTAAGTTCTTTCTTTTTTTTTTCAAATTAATTATCGTTATATATATATATATATATATATATATATATATATATATATATATATAACAATAATATAACAGAAATATAACAATCTGTCACGTGGACAATAATTATAGTGATATATGATATAACACATTCATATATATATATATATATATATATATATATATATATATATATATTATATATATATATATATATATATATATATATTCGGGCTGGAGCTCCCACCAAAATTAAATCCTGGATCCGCTAGTGTTTTTTTGTATCCAAGTTTACTAGTTTTATATACGGTAGATGTAATTTTTATAATGATAAATTTGAAATAGTTACCTAAAGCCAATGCATTTTCCTTCTGGACCTGTGCTACTAAGCATTGGGCTCTCCATGTAAGCATTTTGCCCTTCACGGATGGTGATGTCGTCGACTCGCATAACTGGTGCGGCGAGTAGCGATGTTTCAAAAAAGACGTAACCACCTGTTTCGAAATTTCACAAGGAGTTAGCCATAATAAATATTGAATTTGTATCAATGCAGATTCGGGCATTATTCTAATACAAATTTAATTAATTAAATTTGTTCATTATTGCTCAGTAGATATTCAGGAATACTTGATTAAAAGAAGGATTGCTCTAAAATAATGTACAATGTTCATAATGATATATATATATATATATATATATATATATACTCGTAAAAGAAAGTTTTGGGTTACCCTTTTCAGCCTCTTCTCCACCACTCGCATCCTTGGTAGGGCCACCCAGCCAATTGGACAAGGTCCCAGCACCAAGTTCCCACCTCAGCGCACTTCCATTCCTGTTTGTCCAACCGCACATTATCAAGTCTGTGTCCGTCCCGAAGTCACATACCTCTGAAATAATAAAACTAATAAAATAAAACAATTATTTTCTCAATACATCAATACATAATTGTAAAACAATACTATAATACATTCTGAAGAGAAGAATAGTTGGGGTGGTCAGTCAAAAAGGAAGGCAAAAATAAATAATAATATTTATTTTTTACATATGCCGACGTTTCGACCTGAAGTTCAGGCCTTCATCAGGGCTAAGAAAATAACCAGATAACAAGGTATGAGAAACATAAGTAGTGATGGTAAAAAAATAACAGAACTTGTAACGAACTTGTAACTTGTAACTTGTAACGACTTTTATTCTCCCTGCAACACTTAAGGAGACAGGTAGTACTTCTTTTATTTCTTTGTTATTTCAGCTTTCTCAATTTCTTCCCTCCTTCCTTTCATTCCTTTTCTCTGTTTTTAACTCTTTATTATATTATACATTGTCTGTACATCTTGATAGACTTTACAATATCTCAATTTTTTATCTAACTACTCCATTCTCAATGTTTTAATTTTACTATTTATTTTCAATTCTTATATAACTTCATATTTCTTTTTTATGTTTTACATTTTATTCTAAGATTCCCATTGTAACACTTATGTCACCTTTTTTGATTATGCCTACTTCATCATTCTACACTTTGTAACGGTTATTATTATTTATCTCTTAGTTCGTAGTCATTATTCTAACAATTTCATTTTACTTTATATTTATTTACTTTATTTTTCTAATTTTTTTATTTCTATTATTTTTTTACCATCACTACTTATGTTTCTCATACCTTGTTATCTGGTTATTTTCTTAGCCCTGATGAAGGCCTGAACTTCAGGTCGAAACGTCGGCATATGTAAAAAATAAATATTATTATTTATTTTTGCCTTCCTTTTTGACTGACCACCCCCACTATTCTTCTCTTCATTATCCACGACAGTCAACCAATTACCAATTATAATACATTCTGATATAGAGGAGTTGTATTTATTAATACATCCTCCAATTGCAATCATCCTGAATTAGAAAATAAAAAATGTGACGTAAACCTGGGTTACTTTGGGACTAAAAATAAAAATTTTTGCATCGAGATAGCTTTCCTTGAGTTTTTATCATGTTACAGTCTGGAAATATCATATTAAAGATAAACCATAAAATAAACTCTCATTTCTTGTATAACTTCATATTCCTTTTTTGTTTACATTTTATTCTATGATTACCATTTTAATACTTATGCCACCTTTTTTGATTATGTTTACTCCAATGCATTCCACACTTTGTAACGGTTATTATTATTTATCTCTCAGTTCCTACTATTGTCATTATTCTACCCACATCATTTTACTTTAATTTTTTTTACCTACATCATTTATGTTTCTCATACCTTGTTATCTGATTCTTTCCTTAGATTTGATGAAGGCCTGAACTTCAGGTCGAAACGTCGGCAAATGTTAAAATAAATATTATTATTTGTTTTTGTCTTCTTATTTCTGACTGATCACCTCAACCATCCTTCTCTTCATTATTCACGACAGTCAACCATTAACCCACAATTATACAATAAACTCACTCTCCAATCCCAAAGTAACTCTATTTTACAGTATATAAGTTAAGCGTCTCCGGGCTTGTAAAATAAAAAAAAAGAAGGAAAGAGGAACGAGAAACAATACTCACGACTTCTGAATAAACACTGCTTTATTCGTCCAATAATCTGCCTTATATACAATTGCTATGTTTATTTACATTACAAGATGGTATTAAGGCTGATATCGCCAGTCTCCGGTCTTTATCTCCCCCCCACCAGTTTACGAATAGGATTTTCGGAAACTTATAAATTCCCAGATCGGAGCCACCGGTATCAGCCTTAACCCTTTACAATTATTTGTACCAGTATAAACTTAAAGTACACCAAACCTCAGTTCCACTCCGCTGGAACGAGAAATAAATAAAAAGAAATAAACCACAGAAAGTAAACACACAACGTCTTATTAACAATGGAACAGAGCTCTTAATCCTATAAAAATTACAATCACCTCTATTATGCTGCCATATCTTTATTTACAAGAACAACAAAAATAATAAAAAAAAAATGACATCATCAACAGTAATAATAATAAAAAAAACATATTTTTTTATAATACGCGATAAGGGTACTACGAATCAATTGGTTTCTGTACCGGTTCTAACATTGGGAGCTTCAATTGTTCAATATGAACAGTTCTCCTCTTCTTAGGTTCGTTAATGCTTTCAATGGTTACCAGATTATGCTCCCTAATAGCAATCACTCTGAATGGGCCCTCGTACCGTAACAATTGTTTCCCTCTGTTGGTTCCAATTCTGCGATACACTATTGTTCCGATTTTTAATTCTCCCATTCGGTCACGTACCTGCACATTCTGCCGCGCTACCCGCTTCTCCTTTTCCCGCTGAATTCTCCCCGCTACCTTCCCCCACGTCTTTCCTACCTCTACCCTAGTATTCTGGATTTGCTCTACGAGATGTTCATTGGTCGTTGTTTCCCCCCAATCTCTCCTTGGCCTGCGCATCCCGAATAGTATTTCCACAGGTGAAAATCCCGTTACGGAGTGGATCGAATGGTTGTAAGCTGTTACGGCTTTCTTCATCGCAACATCCGGCTCCAACCCTTTCTCTCCCTGATATACACGGATGTGGTCACTCAACGTGCTGTGCAAGCGTTCGATTCCTCCTCTACTCTTAGGGTGTCCCGGTGTGTTATAATGCCACACAACCTCTAACCTTTTCACCTCCTCCCTAATCGCGGTATTGTCGAATTCTCTACCACCGTCTGATGTGATCCTCTCGGGAACTCCGTAAAACTGTATCCAGATTTGTAGGGCTTCCGCAACTGCATTGGCAGACTTGTCCATGACCTGATGTGCCATAGCTACTTTACTAAAGGTGTCGATGACCGTGACCCACTTGAACCCTTTCCAGGTGAATGTATCGATCTGGAGGTCTTGTAGCGGCATATTCCCTGTAGGTGTCTCTTCCTGAACTCCTCTGGGGGGTGTCGATCATACTTTGTGCGCATACATACCTCGCATTTCCCGATGATTCCTTGGATAGATTTTTTCATTCCCCACCAGAAATACTTTCGCCGTAATGCCTGCAACGTCTCGTTGACGCCTCGGTGGTTGGTCTTCCCCTGGTGGTATGCCAATGTAATTGCTTGTTGCTGCTCCTCATCCTGTACGGTTTCCACTGCATACTTGCACCGGATGATCGTTCTATCCATGCCTATCCGCTCGGATCTCCACATCCGCTTTATTTTCTCCCATACCGTGTTGTTCCCAACATAGAGATGGTGTGTCTTTCCTGGCTCCGTGGCGTCCTTCAGTGCCGTACGGATTTGCTCCTCGCTCACCCCGGGTTGCGACCAAATGACGCGAATCCTACTTTTCCCGTACCTTCGGTAATCTATTTTCATGATCCCTGTTGTCCTGGTTTTCCAGATTACCTGTCTATGCTTGTCGTTGATGATTTCGTCTATTTCCTCCATCGCCTCTGGTCTTTCCTCCGCTGAGCTATCTTCTTCCGGGGACCCCTCCCTGTCCTCTATACTGACGGTATCATCTGCCCCTTCACCCTCAGGAGTCCATTCCCTCAAGAATTGGCGCACGTCCCGCGATGGACCTCCTCCGTCCTCTTCTACCGCGTTGATCATGATGGCCCTAGAGAGCCAGTCTGCCACCACGTTTTCCTTTCCCGGCTTATACACCACCTCCATGTTGTACTGACTAAGGAATTCTTTCCATCTCGTGACCCTCGCAGAGGTTTCCTTAAGTTTTCCTACCCACTGAAGGGGTTTGTGATCGGTGTGGACTCGAAACTTCCTCCCAAATATATACGGCCTGAAATGGTCGATGGCCCACACTATCGCGAGTAGCTCCCTCTCTAACGCGCTGTACCGTGATTCCGCGCTCGTAAGTCGTCGGCTCGCGTATGCTATCGGACGTTCACCCTCACTTCTGCCCTGAGATAAAACGGCCCCCAACGCGTATTCGCTCGCATCGGTGGTGACGTTGAACTGCTTCTCAAAATCCGGGAACGCCAATACGGGTTCTGCCTGCAACCTATCCATGCATTTCCGAATATTATTTTCCATTTCCGGTGTCACCACGATCCTCGCGCCTTTCTTCAGCAAGTTATTGATAGGTACCAAGTATTCTGCCATCTCAGGTACGAATCTTCTATAATAATTCAGCGTCCCGAGAAGCCTACGAATCCCTTTAACGTCCCGTGGCACCGCCATTCGTGTGATAGCCTCCACCTTTGCCGCATCCGGTCTGACCCCCTCGCTAGAAATAGTGTGGCCTAAAAAATTGATTCGCGTTTGTCCCAACAGGGACTTCTCACTTGACAGTTTCAGCCCGAATTGTCGCAGCCTTTCGAATACCGACCTCAAATGCCCCACGTGTTCGGCTTCCGTTCTGCTAAAAATCAGCAGGTCGTCCATATATACTTGACATACGGAGTCGTCGATCCCCCTCAGAAATTCGTCCATCAGGCGTTGAAACGTTATGGGCGCATTCTTCAGACCAAACGGCATTCTGGTGAATTCGTAATGCCCCCTTTCGAATGTAAACGCCGTCTTATGTTGGTCCTTCGGGTGCATCCGTATTTGGTGGTATCCCGCCTTGAGGTCCAACGTGCTAAACACCACGGCCCCACTCAACCTATCAAGTATATCTTCGAATCTAGGGATCGGGTACTTTTCGTCTACCGTGTTGTCGTTCAACCTACGATAGTCCACTACCACTCTGTATTTTTCCTTATTATCCCCTGGCGCTGCCTTCTTTTTCACTGCCCACAGGGGACTATTAAATGGCGAGGTGCTATCGACTATGATCCCTTGCTCTTTCAGGCTTTCCAATTCCTCCCGAATATGCTGCCTCATCGCCTGCGGGTATCTCCTTTCCTTTACGTAGGTCACCCTATCTTGCTTCAGTGGAACTTCGTGTACCGTCTTCCCTGTTACCCCCAATACCTCGCCCTCCCTGAAGAAAATATCTACGAACTCCGCTTGTAACGCCTTTCTCCAGTCCTCCACCCTGTTCACCGCTCCTATCCGCACCCTTCTTTCTCTCGCGACCCCTATACATCCAAATTTCCTCTTTCCCAGCCTGATACTCCAAGCTCCTCTACGGTTTCTAATGCTTACCCCTACCTGTCCTAACAGATCACACCCTATTATGACTTGGTACTCCCGCGCCATGCTCTCTACCACATGCACCCTTAGCTCCCCCTTCTTCCCTGCCCACCGGTCAAGCGTAATTGACGCTTCCCCTTCTACTTTACAGGGACCACCCAGAGTGATTAGCTGGCAGCCACAGTTTTGTATCCGGAGTACCCTCTCGCTCCCGCACACTCTCCCCAACGCCCCCCGAGTCAAGATAGTACTCGAGCTCCCTGTGTCCACGAGACACTTCACTCCCCCATCTACTTCAATAATCGGCAACCAGCATGGCTTACCTCTAATATTGTTGCAGGTTGCTGTGCGGTCGCCTCTCTGCTGACACCCTTCTCAGATGCCACCTCGCTTCCTCCTTACCGCCGTCGCTCGTCGTTGCTCGCTCCGTTGGCTGCTCCTGCCTCCTTCGCCTCCACTGCTGGCTGGCTCGTCAGTCTCCGTTCCCGACGTCCCCGACTCCTCGGTTGCCTCTTCCGAAGATCCGTCTCTCTGCTGCATCCTAGCTCGTTTTTTCAACTTTTGAGCGTTCACCTCCATTGGCTCGTCTAGAGGTCTCTCCCTCCTGCGAAACATGTACGGGCACTGTCTGGCAATATGCCCTTCAGTCCCGCACTCGAAACATCTAGTGCGCGGACATTGTGCTACCAAATGTCCCGGTTTCCCGCACCCGTGACATTTTCGGTCTTCCCTCCGGGGTCCATTCCTAGGCCTGGACTGTCCGGATCTTCTCTCGCCCGTCGTGGCTTTTTCTCCGTTCGGGTGTTTCATTTCCCTCTTCCTCCACCCTATCTGGGCTGTCCGGGGTCGTCTGTCACTCACTCGGGTCCACCCTGGTTCTTCTACTTCCATCCGCGTCTCTTCCTCTCTTGCACTCAGATCTATCATTTCTTGGGCACACTCGAGGAACGATCGCTCTCTAGGCAGTCCGTCCCTTCTCCCAGTCTCCTTAGCTAACTGAACCTTGAGTATTGTCGAAAGGAATTCCATCCTAGCCTCGACCTCTCCCACACTCATGGTTTCACGCATTTTCTCAGTTATGCGGTTGTACTTCGCCACTAGTACCCCCGCATACTGTCCTCTTGTTTGGCGTTGGGACCGACACTCCCTAAACATTTGGAAGATATCTTCTTCCGGCGTCCATCGGCCCCCTCCGAAAGCCTTCTTCAAACGCTCCTTAATCACTGGCCATGGTGTCTCCTCGTCCGCTTGGATTTGGTTGAGGATGTTCCTCCTCACTCGGCACACGAGAGCTGCCTTCAGTGCTTCTGCGTCTCCCAGGTTCACGAGGTCCTCCGCCACCTTTGCTTCGATTCTTGATATGAGGCGGTCTCCGCCTTTCAGGAAGTGATTAAGTTCACCTATCTCGCCCCCGAATCGCTCCAGGTCTGCGATTGCTCTCCGTAGATCCTGCGTGGTTGCTGCCCTTATCTTCATCCACTCCAATGCATTGGCATGCGCCTCTGCCAATGTGTCCCTAGGTAAGGGAGGGATCTCTTGTATCTGCGGTACTTGCGGTATCTGAGGTATCTGCGGAATCTGCGGAACCTGAGGGGCGATCTGAGGAATCTGCGCTATCGGCATTTCCTGAGGTTGCGGCATTTCAGGTGCGTTCAACACTCCTGGTCGAATTATGCCCTCTGTCGGCATCTCGTCTTTTCCTTATGACTAGGAGAAGAGAAAAAAAAAAAATTAAAATAAAGACAGAAAAAAAAATTTTACTTCCGTGTTCTCCTGACGTTCTCCCGGGTTTCGGCACCAGTTAAGCGTCTCCGGGCTTGTAAAAATAAAAAAAAAGAAGGAAAGAGGAACGAGAAACAATACTCACGACTTCTGAATAAACACTGCTTTATTCGTCCAATAATCTGCCTTATATACAATTGCTATGTTTATTTACATTACAAGATGGTATTAAGGCTGATATCGCCAGTCTCCGGTCTTTATCTTATAAAATAAAATATATCGTATCAGTCAATTGGTCTTAACATATTTTCGAAATAATAGAGTTAAATCTTGAAATTCTGGCAATTTCGATCAATTATAATAATGATGATGGATCATCAGGTGTATCCGATTCAGAACTATTTTTCTAAGCGAAATCTACGGGGGAGGAGAAGTCGTTTTCGAAGCCCTCCGGAATGGAAAAATAATATTTTTTTTCATTGGTTCATATTTGTTTTTGTGTTTGAGCTAAACTAAATAATTAAACAGTCACAATATATTCTCTTTTTAAATTATAGTGTATGTATAGATAGTAAATGTAAGCACGTGTCTAGAAAAAATATAAGATATTTTTCTCTAAAAGTATTGTTTTTTTTCTTCCTTTAAGGATCAATTAAACATTATTTCATATAGTTAGTTTCCTTTCTTTTTCTTCCTAAATAATTACTTATACTAAAAAAAAAGTCCCGCCCTATAGCGTCGTAGTCCCGTAGGTTTTTTTTCGAATATTTATTGATATAAAATTGTTTTATTTCAAAATGAAACTAATCACAATTGCATAAACACGACATGACAGATGAAGCTTGAGAAAACGTTTGTTAGCAATGCCATTGCTATCATGGCATTATCGATGACGATTATCGCACTAACACCAATCTTACGTTAGGGATAGTTCGGTTGTTCGCATAGACCTGTTTTTTTTTTTTAATGAATGATCTTTATCAATGCTTTATCTTCTTTGCCTTGAAAATGTTGCCTTCTGTAACTTCCACGTAAGCTCACAATCCTATAGAGGTTTAGAGATATGTAACAGATAACTTCTTAATCCTAAAAACATACTTAAAAATGTCGACTCACCAGAAGTGTCTTGTCTCCTGTTCCTTGTCTGTAAATCAAAAACATAAATAAATTAATCAGAATAATCACAGAATAATCAATTTTTTTTTTGTTTAGTATTTTTTTTTCCTGTCAGGGCTCAATATATTTTGTATTTAATTATATGTTCAATATTGGAGTTCTGGCAATGGCCAGATTCTTCACTCAAGCCATGTATGTGTGGTTATAGTGTCTCTGCTCAGCCTTCATTGGTCCAGTGATGCGGCTGAATGAAAGACGCTGGGATCACCTAGAGTTCTGCCTTTCCCTCCCTGAGTGTTGGGAAATTCTTGGCTCGGAGATCTTGAGTGAATGAATTTTGTAAATATTGTATAAAAGAATGTATGTTTTAAAGTATTTATTTTGTGAGATTAGTTTATTTTTGTTTAGTTTAGTATCTTTTAGTTTATATACATTTATGTTTAGTACTATTTTATTGCTGTTTATTACTATTATTTATTGTGCATAGTATGAATGAGCTACTATTTATCACTATTACCATTGTCCTTAAATGTGACAGATTGTAATATATTCAATAAAGAAATTTCCTTAGCTGTTGAAAATAAATTATTTGTTTACCCCTAATAGCAATGTTTCTGAATGGTGTAACATTTCGAAACGTTTTAAGAATTCTATTGACAAAATTTTTTAAATAGTATATTTCAACAAACTATTTGTTGATCAAAGCTTTCCCATTTTTTTAAATTTTACTATTATTAGACGATAAAATTTAAAAAATGATCAAAACTTATTATAAAAAAATATAAACTTCTAATAGTGTTTAGTATCGTGATAGGTAAAATAAAAAATGACGGTTAGGTCTCAACAAGTGATCTTTGAGAGGCTCTAAAAAAAAAAAGGTATAAATTTGATTGTGACAGACATCCAACTTTCAAGGGAAGATATGTAATCGAAATTATTATCTGTGATATGGAGGAATTTAGGATTTCGATATTTCTTTCTGAATATAGGGTTTCCAAGTCATAAAACGGAGTTTAAGTGTGATATTAATTTAATCGTGGTTTCACCTACCCTTTCAGCCCCCAAAAAATGGGAGCTTTGCAGTATGATAAATCATGTGACTGAGCACAATGCTGAAAACAACGGTCTACAGTGAATTGTTGTACTGCTATGTGATTTGTTATTTAATATTTTTTTCATCAAATTCTTCCATGTAAGTTCATTAGCAATTCTATTATTAAATTAAGGTTTAGATTGTTATAAATAATATAAGGTTTTCAATGATGGATTAAGTAAGAAATTAAAAAAAGTAAATAAAATAAACAGTTGAGTTAAGTACAGGCATTGTTTGGTAGAGAGGAGTGACCCAATAAATTAATAGAAAGAAGCAAAGATTAAAATTACATTCATTTTGGGTGAACAAGGAGTTTTACCGTCTATATACTCAATTTATTTACAATAATATAAAACGTTGTGATTTTTTTTGTGAGGGAGCGATTTGTGAGAATGTCAAGTATTTCATGAAAATTCATAATAGAATTCTAAAGTAATTAATTAATTATTTCTACGTTTCATTAGGCTACTTTAACATTTTGGTGTAAAATGCATATCTATAAACATTTATAAAAAAATAAATAGTTTATATACAATTAAAGAGTTTGAAAACTTATTTTAACAATAATTTAATTTAACAATAATGATTTTTTAAAATGTAGTTTAAAGGCGTCAACCACCGGGGCCATTATTGTCTTATTTCGTTGATCATTAAATTTTATTGTCCAGTTTCGCAAGTTTCAAAAATTGAAAAAGTTTGTCAAATGCATTCGTATTGTCTTGTACAATGATCTGTATGGCCGTTTGGTAAGTTACAAGATATTCTAAGTGGTTCGTTGGCTCGGCATTCAATCCGAACGCGTTTTATAGTTATTAAAGTTCGGGGCTATCGGGTATCCATTGGTTTGATGTGTATGACCTATATGCAGGTGTGTAAGGATCACTTCCTCTCGGCGTGTATTTATGTTCGATGATGACGAAGAGGAAATATCATTTTTAATTTTTCTTCATTTATTTTCAGTAACTCTTAATCACACCGGTTCCTATTTCAACTTAATTTTCTTTTTAATGGTGGTTAGGCTGAAGGCGGGAAACGCTCGTTATTTTTCTGTGACAAAATTAATTAGCTCGCGCCTTCTGTCCCGGAACTTAAAACTTGAAAACTATAAAACCACTATCCTACATATCGTTCTTTATGAACGCGAAACGTAGCAGCTTACATCAAGGGAAGAGCAATGTATTAAGGTTTTTGAAAATAAAGTTTTGCGTAGAATATTCGGACCGAAGAAGGATGAGCTAACCGAAGAGTTCAGACAGTAATACAACACCAAATCACGTGAATTGTATCCGGTTAATAAATTGAGGCGATTATATCGCGTAGAATAAAACGGGCTTGTAAAATTGTTGGAATTAGTAACGAAAGAATTCCTAATAGGTTAATATCTGCTGTGCCGACTGGTAACCGTCCGAGGGGTAGACCGTAGCGAAGGTGGGAATTTGCTTTAAGGCCGATCTGAAGGGACAGGGGGTTTGGACGGCGACCGATGGAGGGAGGTGTGTAGACAGCGATTGGTTGTGTCGGCATCGAACCTCCGGGTTCGTTAAGCCTTTCATTATTATTATATCAAGGTGGTAAACGGTATATAAAGGTGATAAGTTCGAAAATGGTCAAAATCAGGCCGAAAGCGTACAAATATGTGAAATAAATTAATAAAGCTTATGTATTATTAATAAACAATATTGCTTTGTATCTTTTTTTTCAGGATGAAAGAAATGGCCCTATTTTTTTATTATTAGTTATTTAATTAATGTACTTTACATGTTTAAGAAATGAACTTCGAATTTATCCTATGTACAGAAAGTCGTTAACGTCAGAGGATAATCCCACCATATTCAACGAAACTTAAGATAGTTAAATGGAGTAAGTTATTCGTCTAATACTTTTATTTGAAGCATAGACATTTTATTTTATTTTTTTCGTTGATGCTTTGAATTGACCGTTATCATGAATAAATGATTTTCCATAACTGTCGACTAAGTTGGTCGATATTGCCCTATCAATTACAGTTCAAAGACCCGGAGTTTTTGACATGCAATCTCCAAAGCACCTATAGAGTCGATGATGATTATTGATGGTCATCGTGCGGAGGACTTTCCACTAAAGTCTCCCATTTTTATTTTCTGTAGGGTGCAGGTTATAGTCCATGTTATAAGACCCCTTTTTATCAAATTATTAATATCTGCTTAAAACTTCGTGGACGGCTTCATCTTATCATAACCTACAAATTTTATATTTACGAAAATTCTCAGAAATGAGGTGTGTTTTCACTAAATTAATTAACATTTTCAAGTTTATTTATTATCAGACAATTTAACACCAATTTTTAAAAGTTTGTCAACTTAATGAATAGTCTTCCCCTACTCCTTTAAGAATAACCAGTCACTGAATAGAAATGAGACTGATGATATGTCGGTGACACATGATAAGGTAATTTTAACTTAATTGAATCATTTAATAAGAAATAATTGAGTAATAATAATGTTATAAAATAATTAAAGGTGGACATGACAAAAATAAAAAAAATTATTATGAGTGGACGCATGCAATTCGCATAAGTGAAAAGGACAGGTACATGATGGGTATTTAGGTATATAAAAAGAATCTCTATATGTTGAAATATGTAATGTTTTAAATATGATTGTAAATTGTAAAAATTTTTTAGACTTGAAAATGGCTCAACGAGCCGAAACGTCGTAATTAGATGTGATGTCTTTAAGTTGACAAAATTTTAAAAATTGGTGTAAAATTGGCTGATAATAAATAAACTTGAAAATAAATAAATTAATTTAATGAGGTACTTAAAACTCATAAATACACATTATCTTGATCATAAAATCGAAAAAAAAGTGGCCTACAAAAATATTGGGCCGTTTAGCCTATATAATCTCGTTATTTTGGCATGTTGGTGGTAAAGGTCACGCCAAACTGCTCAATATGTTTGTAGGCCACTTTTTTTTCTGGATTTTGTCATCAAATTATCTTAAGATTGGAATAGTCTCGTGACTTTAGGGTTTTGGAGAGAAATAATTGATTAAGTTCTGCCCTTTAGGAGGTTTTCTTTTAAGAGTCAGGAAAAAGAATCAACAGAGCTCTCAGTTGTCTGGTGGATGAAACATCCCAAAATTCGCGAAAAAATACTCCTCTCATTTCCACATTTGGCATTTTGTGTCCGTTTTCTTAATTTAAACTTCGAATCCATTGATCGGCCGGAAACAATGCATAGGAATGAAAATATTCCTCATAAACTTTTACATAAAAAGTTTTCTATTAATAACCAAATAATTTTTAGGCATTGGCTTTCAAAGGTCGTTACAGTTATTTTTAGCTAAGTACTTCGAACTGTTTTCAACTTCGAAAGCTTACTCGAAATCCAAATTATTAATACATTTTATGTTGAATTTTACGAGAAATATTTTCATCCTTATTCATTATTTCCATCCAATCAATGGATTCGAAGTTAAATGAAAAAAAACTGGCAAAGAGTGTCAAATGTAGGGGTGGAATTCTTTTGATTCATGTTCCTGGCCCTAAAAAGAAAAACTTCTGTGAATGGCAAAACTTTATAAATTTTTCCCACAAATGACCTATTTAGTCTAAGGTTGTGCAACGTTTCAAACAGTTCTCAACTTCGAAAGCCGTTTACTCAAAACCGATAAGTACTAGCCAAATTATTAATACAACACTTTTTGTGCGAAATTTCATGAGGAGTATTTTCGTTGTTATTCATTATTTCCGTCCGATCAATGGGTTCGAAGTTAAATGAGAAAAACTGACTAGAGTATCAAATGTGGAGGTGGGAGGAGAGTTTTTTTCTCGCAAATTAGGGGATGTTTTATCCATCAGGGAGGAAGGAACTCTTTTGATTCTTATTCCTGATCATAAAAAGAAAAAAATCTGTGAAGGGCAAAACTTTATATATTATTTCCCACAAATAACCTTTTTAGTCTAAAGGTAGAGCAGCTTTTCAAACTGTTCTTAACTACGAAAGCCATTTACTCAAAACCGGTAAGAACTAGCTAAATTATTAATACAGCACTTTTTGTGTAAAATTTCATGAGGTGTATTTTCATTCAAATTTATTATTTCCGTCCGATCAATGGATTCGAAGTTAAATGAGACTGACTGGGAGTATCAAATGTGGGCATGGGAGGAGAGATTTTTCGCTCCTTGAGTACTTGAGTGTACCTGTGTTTTCTGCAAAAATAACGATATATTACAAACTTCTATATGCAGTTTCTAAGATGCAGGGAGTGTTTTTGGTTCTGAGGACTTAGAAAAGAAAAACACCAAGAAGGAATTGCCGTAGAGACGTTCTGTAATAAATTTATTATGAAAACATACTTTTTATTTTTATTAAAAAAACTGCTTTTTCAAAACTTCATAATCTAAGATGATAAGGAACCATGTGAATTGATTCCTATTGTCTTAAGTGACAGAATAAATCTTTCTAATGTTTATATTTCTTTTTCATAAAAAAAAGGATATTTTTGTTTTTAGAAATATTAATTAAAAAAAAAAAAGAGGATCCTCTTTTTTACGATTTAAAGTAAAAAATTAATTATAAATAACACATAATATTTTTTTTTTCTCGTTTGTTTCATATGAGAAGTCGATAACAAATCACCTATCAGACATATTAAGTGTATATTTCTGGCCTTATGAATCAAATAAATAACATTAATAAAAAAAAAAGAAAGTTATCATATTTATCAATCACCTTTGTATATTTTTTAAAGGTACCAGCAAGTTATTTAATTTAAATAAATGAAAAATAAATTTCAGATAAAAATACTTAATAAATGTTTAAAAACAGATAAGATGGTCGTTAGACAGATGTGTTTGAGAATCATTTCAAAGCTCGTATTAAACTTTCCATTTTAATCCTTGCTGGTATCAGTACTGGTGGGGGAACTAGTCTGGTAAGTGGTTGGCTTTGTGGTTCTTATTGCCAACTCCTGAAGCCTGGCTACTTTGAGATTGCAGCCGCGTACTTACGGGAGTAAGAATGGCCCTATTTGATTCCATGGTTTCATCGACACTTCTTTATGGAGCCGAGATTTGGAGTTTGAATTACCTGGAAGGCTTAGAGTCGATTCAGACTAAATTTTTGAAGTATTTACATTTCTGGCCCAAATGTACTCCAAATTATATTGTTCGCTTAGAATCTGGACGAACTCCTTTAAAAGTAAAAATTTTGAAGAAAAGTATTAATTTTTGTATTAAGCTTCTTCCAATGCCTCAAAAACCGACTACCAAGCAAATGCCTTGTCAGACTCATTAATTTAGATACAAAAGAGAGAGACTCAGGTTTTAACTGGATCTCACAAATTAAAAAAATAGCAAGAAATAATTATATTGATGACGACCTTTTTAAAGACCTAAAACCAAATTACCTACTTACTAATAAAGACATAATTATCGAAAAAGTAAAAAATCATCTCTACTCTATAGATATTGATAGAGCTCTCAACTCAAAATACAACCCACTTTACAGAACTGTTTGTAGCTTTAACAACCCTCAGCCGCGAGAATATTTAACTTACCATGTAAATATAAACAAATTGAGGCTAGTTAGCCAATTAAGAATTTCAGATACGGAAAAGCTGTAACTTTTTCATAAAAATACCACTTTGGTTATAAAAGTGGGGGGAAAATGTGGATGGTGTCAAGAACATATCACCCAAAACATGGAACACCTGCTATTGCAATGCCCCAGACTAAGTATTGATAGAGAAAAATACCTAGGAGATTATACTGTCCAAAACAATAAACAATTATCTTTAGAAAATCTTCTAAATATTGATAGTGCGGAAAAACTCAGTAACATCTGTTTCTTTTTGTTAAAGGCTGTATATAGTAAGGACTATATTATATTGTTTTAGGAATAACCATTTATTTATTTATATGTATATGGCTTTGGGAAAAACTATTGATGTTATTGAATCGTTAATTAATTTTCGGATATACACTTTTTTATATTGTTTTGGGTTTTAGAAATAATTATGTATATGTTTATTTATTCTATTTACTTATTGGGAATATATTATATATATATACATATTTTATATTTTGTTTTGTTCTCTTTCAATAGCAATTTACATATGTATACGTATTTATATCTTTATTTATTTATGCTTTGTTTATGCTTTCATTGCCATTCAATAATAACCACTACTAACACCAAATGGGCCAAACTCCATAGCTAAATGATGTACATAATAGCCAATAAATAAATTATCTAAATTATCTACTTACGGGAGTATACTGGAGTTTCCAATATGTCAATCCTTCCTTTTCTCATAAATGAGCTTATACCATTATAGTATAACTGTATATATACATATATATATGTGTATATATATACACATTTTTTTTTCACATTTAAAACATTTTTTTACCTTGGTAGTTGTAGATGTTTTCAGTGGCAAGCCAACGTCAGTAGCCGGTTTGCCTACAACTAAACCAAGATAGGCTAGACTTATGATACACCATGTTTTCATATCCTCTGAAAAAAACAAAAAAAAACATTATTAAATTTTGTTTTTTATTAATTTATTAATAACAGTCTTTCATTTGTACGTTTAAAATTCTTGCATCTGAAATAAATAGTGAAATATCACGATTTATTATTATTTACAAATTTATGAAGTTCGGGACGAAAAATTTCAGTTAGCTTAGACCAGATTTAGCTAAAACCCAGATTTTTATGCAATTGTATATTTTATTTGATGGTCAAATAAATTTACGAATCAGTGTACTTTGATACAATCAGACAAATTTTAAATTGCATAGTGCATGAAAAAGGCAAATGATTACAATTGTGGTAAATTTCAATTATATAAATTAAAAATTAAAGTGCATTGAACATTGAAAATAAAATTCTATATTACAATCGTTGGTTCATTTTCAATCAACAAAATAGCGCTATCTTCATTAGTTTATAAACGTTGTTGTATGTATATGTAATTAGAGATTCAGATGTATAAAGAGTTAGAGCAATATAATAATAACGAATATTATAAAAGTTATTTTTTTTTTGCAAATATTCGGAATCGACATATAAAGTTACAACTGATATAATTTTTGAACCGTTAAAGATAAACTAGTAAAATAATATATATTCTTGAAGAAAATTTAATTATTAAAAACTTTCTTCTGCATGGCTTTATTGTAAAATGAAGCAATCGAGAGTTAGCTAGTTAAATACAGTGAAAAACCACCAGGTAAACTAATTTTTTTCCAAATTAGCGATAGCTGAGGACGGATATCTCGGGAACTAAGCGATATAGAGAAAAAATATATATATTCAATCTAATTTTAGCAGCTTTAATTTTGTAGAGAACGTTTTTATGGAGGCGATGGATAGTTTTCTTGATATAAGTTTATTTATGTTTTAACACTGTACATAGTTTTAAGTGTCTTGGAATGGTTTCAAGTGTTTTGTATATAGATTTTTTTATATATAGTATGTATAACTAAAATGTTTTTTGTTTTTACTTTTTATGTTTGTTTTTATTTAGACCAGCTATAATATTTTAATTTTGTACTTTTTTGTTATTCTGAAAGGACTTTGTCCCAGAATAAAATTATTTTCTATTCTATTCTATTCTGTTCTATAAGCGAAAACCCGAAAAAAGAGACTTTCTAGGTGTCCCCTCCCCCACATTTAGCTCACCACCTAGGAGTGATGACTTTTAGTATGTTTACCTCCTTACAATTTTGCTACGAAATTCTGTATTTCATTTAATTTTAACTCTAAGTTACATTTCCTTGGTTTATTATAGTTTTTGCCTTTGTTATATAGATGTATATATATATTTTTTTATTTATTTACTTTTTTTTTTTTTTGTATTGTATATATGGTGTGAATGTGCCTCACTCAGCCTTAGTACTCAGTGCCCTTAAGTGTGGCAAAATGTATTATATCTCAATTAACAGATAAAAAAAAAAAAAAAACCTTACAAGTCCAAACAATGTCCCAAAAGTTGTGTCGCCGCCATTTCCTTCTGTAATCGTTCATTTTATAAACTGTTACTACTTCGAATATGTATTTTTTTATTGCCTGGGTATTTTATAGCTTTTAAACAACAAACTTAGTTTTAACTTTAGTTTATTTCTTACTTTCTGTACAAGCTGTAATATTTATTATTATTTGAAATGTTAGAATTATGTACATCGCTTTCTTTAGTTATTAGGTAATTTTGAATCGACCTTAACAGTATAAAAAATAAAACAGTTATTGAAAAAGTCGTTTTTGCAAAATGGGTAATACAAGTTTCTACTGATAACAACATAGATAATTATAAGGGAATATAAATTTGATCACATCATATCTGCCGATGTAGAAATATCACTTTCTGATTAGACAAAAATGTTTTTGTTCTAACGATAGAAGATAATGTTTTCCAGAAATAAAACGACCGAAAAATTAGAAATTTATCAACTAAGCTCATTGCAGAAAATGTTGCTAACGAAACTATTTTCATTTTATTTTTACTGTCAATTATTTTTTAATACAATCGCTGCTTTTTTTTAATTAATAATAGCAAGTTTCTTTTACTTTAATATTTTAGTTTTTAATGATAAGGCTCTGTAAGTTTAATCAGTTTTAAGCTCCGTGTCGACTTGTTACAACTGTCTTTACAAGACGGATCTTCACCTATTGTCAACGGAAACCAATCTGATACTGATCTATTCCACTCCTCGATAGTTTTCATTAAATTACATATCTTGAGGTAGTAATGAACGTTAATGTGCAAACATTTAGCTAAGAGATTGATTATGTATTCCTTCTCTTTAATATGCTATCACATACAGCAAATAGTCAATAAATAAAATGTCCTTTGACTAAGAGATACAAAAAAAATTTTTAATAATATCTCTCATTAGCCTTTAAGACATTAGCCTTTGAATTTTTAATAAATTTGCGTACTTACTGTTTCTCATGTATAATTAATATTTTTATATTCGTTGTATTTTATTATTATTTTTTTTCAATACTGTCGATTAGTTATTTTTTTTATATATAATTACTTATTTTTGTTGTTTAACGCAAGCTTATATTACTTTAAAATTGTAGTTTGTAAAAAGTGTCTCATGTCATCTATATTTTGAACCGTTAATGTATGAAATTTTTTTGTTTCCAGTTTTTTATCGTCAAAATTTAGTTCTAATGATTTTGGTTCATGAAAAAAATTGAAACTATTTTCATTTGATTTTTAATCATTCCTCCCATTTTTTATTGATTTCAGAACTGTTTAGGCACATCAGTATATTCGAATATTCTAGTATATTTAAGGGACGAAATTTAATTAAATAAAATAAAAACTATATTAAAATATACTTTTTTTATCCATTTCGGCTATCCGGCCATTTTCAGGTGATTCGGTTGTTTTATTTAGGTATAAAAATAAAGTTTTTAAGTGGTTAAGTTTGATTTTTCCAGTTTAATGAATTTCAACCCTCAAACGGTAATACTTGGGCCAACCTGACCCGAGCGGTACATTTTTATATATAACGCATACAATTCTAGAATTTCCTCCAGCAAACTCCAGATATCCTCCTATCCATTGTTGAACTAATTGTCTTCAAAGTGGTTTTATTCTGATAATAAGCATTGTTGATCTATTCGCAATAACGCACGTACTTTTCGAATTTTGGGTCAATTTGACCCAACCTTACTGTAAATAAAAAAAATATTTCTATTATAACAGTACCACTAGCGGATCCAGGATTTAATTTTGGGGGAGGCTTCAGCCCGGAAGCTTTTTTTTTTTCATAAAAATGACGATAATTACTTTGGAAAAAAAGGAAGAAACTAACTATCTATATGAAATGGTGTTTTAGTGATTCCTGAAGTCCTTTTAAATGTAATTACACGAACATTAATACTTTAAGAGATAATTTTTTAATATATTTTTCCATAAAACATGGTTATATTTTACCATTTTGGAGGGGGGGGGGCTTTAGCCCGAAAGCCCCTCCCGTGAACAGTACTATTGGGGATTTACTATTGGAGAAAGATGTAACACTATTTGGACCAATCAACCATTGAAATCATAGTTTTCAAGGAACTTGTCTTCAAAATTTGATAATCATCTTCCTGGTCATAAGCAAGAACCAAAAGGTGGTTACCACATTTGGAGAGCAACAAATTTTTATATGCACATATTGTTATGAAGGAGACTATATAGTCCCAGTCACATAATTTTACGTGTCATATAACTTTATGTGTTAATTTGAAATTTAATGTATTTTATTAATGTTTTATATTAATTTTTACTTTGTGTTGTACTTCAAGAATTTTTTTGTTCAGTTTTATGTTTTTATTTTATTGTTTTCAGAAAATTAGTTAAGTAATAAAAATTATTAAATATATATTATGAAATGAAATGAAAATATTTTTTTACTATCCTGGGATTGTTGTACCTTCAGGACAAATTATAGATACATAAAAAATGCCTCTGTGGCCGTACGTTAAATTAAATATTTACAATTCTCATTAAAATTTAAATATTGGAAGAAGAATAGAACAAAAACACTAAAACGATATATATATATATATATATATATATATATATATATATATATATATATATAATACAAACATGGGAAATTAAAATAACATAAGTAAATAAAATCATTTCTAGGGGAACTTAAAAAGTTCTGTTGTCTACTTTTAATGAACAATCGGGTTGGGAAAGGATTAGGTGCTTAAAAAGGAGAGATTTAAATGAGGAAACTGATTGCGCATGTCCGATATCGGGAGGGATGGTTTCCAGAAGGAGACGGCTTGAATTATAAAGGATTTGTCAAACGCCGCAATTCGGTGAGGAGGTGGATAGAGGTCGGAAGTACGAGATCTAGTGGGACGGGATTGAGTGGAATATTTAAATTGTAGGCTGTCAAAAATATAGGAAGGTCGCTGAGTTCTGATGGCTTGGTGTAGAAAGGTAGCAAGGTACAGGCGGCGGTTGGCTAGATAGATCCACTTCAACTCGGTGTAATACTGAATTATATGCGTATCTCTTGAGATTCCGAAAACAAAACGTATTGTAGTTCATTAGGCGTTTATGTTTGGCCTTGAATTCTACCGAGTCCGCAATACACCTAAGAGCCGTAGTCGAAGTGGGGGAACACAAGGGAGGAAACCAGGAGTTGACGGGATTTATATGGAAGGAAATTTATATGTTACTATATATATATATATATGTATATATATATATATATATATATATATATATATATATATATATATATACACACATTAATATGAAAGATATAAACATGAAAGAGAATTATTGCAGGGTCAGATTGACCCAGCGTTACTGCTACCGTTTCACTCTCGAGTGTTACCATTAGAGGGTTAACTACATTTAAATATTTTAGCTGTTTGATTGTATCTTTTGAGATTTTTCGTTGCATTTTTTTGTTTGTGTACTTCACATTTTTTCATCGCATATATTCTACGGTTTTTTGCTGCATAAAAATCCGCGCTCTGGTTAT